TGAAATCGCTCGAGGATTTGGTTGTCCGTAGAGATTTTTTGGTGAAACAGTTTTTTCTATAGTGTTCTGAAAATGAGTGAAATCAATTTCAAGCATCGATGTGCTATCAGGTTTTGCTTCAGACTTTGGTACAGTACAACAGAAACTCTTGCTAGGAGGGAGAGAGTCGATTGAAGATGAACCACGAAGCGTAAGGCCTTTATCTACAAGAACCGATTAAAATATCGAGAGAATTCTGTATCTCGTGAAATATAAAATTGTAATTATACGTAAATAAAAGAATTGAAAAAACAATCTTATCACTTAATTTACAGACCTCGTATATGCGCAAAGTCTTCTCTGCGCCTGAACGCTCACGTTGCCAGATGATCGATATTTTCGATATGGCAGGGAAGAAAATTCGAGCGTTATCAAATGGACTATATATGTATATTGCCCTGTTTGGCTGAACGGGTCCATTTAGATGTTTTTGTCATACATTAATGTTTGTTTTCCTCACATTGGTTAACTTGTGCCGAACATAATCCTTTATTAGCTGATGAGAGCGTTGAGTGGAAAATGCAGAGTCATCCTACTTGTCGCGATTTTTTTCCTAATCTATACGTACCTGGAGTGTCATAGAATACACCCCCAGCAAAGTGTTGAATGCCAAACGATGGCGTCATGTCAGACTTCGGTTTTAAGTAACTTTCATGACTACTATGCTGCTTGTGCATCTTGCTCAACATAGAAAAGTCCGTGCCATTTGGAAATTTGGATTCCTCATCAATCAATGCAAATACGTTCAAGGGTTTCACCGCCAAAAGGTTTAGCACTTGTTGGTTGTCGATGAAAGAGATATTGGACCAATTGATTCCTTCCTTGGTATAATATTCCTGCTCCATTTTGAAGATGTGTTGGACAAAAAATTGCTGGAGGCTCTCGTTAGCGTAGTTGATGCACAGCTGCTCGAAGCTGTTGAGGTTGAAGTTCTCAAATCCGAATATCCAGTACACCTATACTTCCTCTACCTTTAAGTACAAATCAATCAATCAAAACAGTCTTGACCGCGGAAATAGAGCATAAAATTTTACGTTCAGGCATTTGATGAAAATTATTTTTACCTTGATTTGACCTCCAAGGTGATGCTCAAAGCCAGTTTTAAGGTCAAATTTCCAGGAATGTTTCTGATAATAAAGCATAAATAAAAACATAAATGCAGCAGGAGGCCTGCCTTTCGACTCTTCACTGGTAACCTTGAGACTGAGATTGATCGTAACCTTGGAGATCAAATCAAAGTCAAAACCACCTTTCATTTGATGCTCTTTACTTTTGACCGCAGAAATAGCTTGATCTCTTCCTTGCCAAGTGACCTTGAAACTGACATTGACTATAACCATGAAGATAATATCAAGGTCAATATAATATGTTGTCTGATACCATATACTTTTGACTCTCTCAAGATACCTAAGAACCTAAAGGTAACAGAAGCTTGACTTTTCCCCTGACTGCTAACTTTGAAACTTACATTGCAAGTGAAATCAAGGTCAAGCTAATATTCTGCCTGTTACCATATACTTTTGATCGCAGAAATAGAAAGGAAACCTTTACGTTCAGAGATAAACTTTTCTGATTTTTTTTACCTTTATTTGACCTCCAAGGTCATGATTAAGGTGAAAACAAGGGCAAAATTAAAGCACATGCTGACCTTAGAGTTCTATTACTTTATCTTAAGGATAGATCTCAAAATAATTTCCTTTAATTTAAAGTAATCGTCCTGACCTTGATTTGAGCTTCAAGGTCATGCTCAACCCCAAACTAAAGGTCATCGCTGAACAGCCAGAACTCTACCATTGTACTTTTGCCATCTTTGCATATTGCCACATATCTTGCCGTTCCACTACTTCTGGATCACCTTGTATGAGTTGTAGTACCGAACAGTAAGAATAACAAATAGTCTTACCTCTCCCTTTTACTTGCGAAATCGCCGAATTGATTTTGTCAACAATGAATATGAACAGTTGTCCATATATTCCTTTAGCAAAGGCATTTCTCGAATCTGAAGCAAATTCTTTAGACAGATTTGCTACCACTTGATCTCCACTCGCATAGATTGTCCTTTTGGTCAATGCTACGGTCAGGTCAAACTTATTTACACCTGGAAAATTATCATACTTATACCTCTCATGATATGCGAATAGAAAAAGGTATAACTACATACCTATACATACATAGTTACAATGTTAAATTCACTGGGTACTAGAAGAAATATTCTGTTTTTAAGAGTCTATGGAAATACCAGGCTAGAAAGCTTTCTCCAATTGGTTATCGTAATCTAACACCTACTTACCTAGCAGTTTTGATATTTTTTCGTTTAAACCCTGATCAGCAATTTCGGAAGTCTCTGAATGACTTGAAGCACCACTTCTGAACCTTATGTTACCCACATGCAAAATTGACGAAAGGAGGCACCATATGTCTGACATTTCTTTCTCCGTGAAATTGAGAACTTTGAATGCGGCCATGATGTCTGAAAATTCCGATGCCTCGTTTCTACCATCACATGTTAAAACTTTTCCGCCCCTTAGATATTCGTAGTTGTTTGCGTCTAGTAGGTCCAACTGCTTTTTTTTCTCTCTTTGGTAGTCCGGCAAGCATACTAGAAATGATAGATTTTGATGTAGTGTTAGCAGAAATGCAATATAGATTCGAGAATACAAGATGGTTAAGATAAAATACAATGTAGTTTGAATCTAACAACGTTATGCATGCTACATCAAAAGCCATATTTTTCAAATTGAAATCTTTGAGTACCGACTGCTTCTTTCCGTAATGCAACCATGGGACGAAAAGTGCTAGTCTTGGCTCCATTCAATAAAACGAGTACCTACATCAAACTTATGAACGACCAAGTGATCTAGACGTGAAGGGTTAATTTTTTTTCCCGAGGTTGACAAAATACTGTAAGCTGATCACAATATTTTATCATGAACTACTTGCCCAGAAGAAAGATTATCTATGCTAGCCGGTTTTGGCGAGTTTGGTTAATGAAAACGAATGCCAATAGGGCCTCGGCCAATTTGTCTTTTTTCGATAATAAAGTCAGTTGTAGGGTGAGTTCTTAGTGTGAGATTGATCGATAACTCCGTTATTATGCATGGTATCCAAAAAAGTTACATACAAAAATTATAGCCAACAGTATGCTCCTTACTTGACAAATATCTTCCTTTCTACAGGGTGATCCACAACTACGTGGTGGCCCAAACATTCATTTTTTAGGCGAAGAGTCACTTTATTGCAGATTCGAATAGGGCCTTTCGAACGAAGTAGTTTGGTATAACATACCATACATTTCTTCATATTGTTGATATATTGAAAAATCTATCGAGAAAAATACTCAACTATGACAACTCTCACCTCCGCAACTGTTATAGTTAGAGAACTGAATTTTTCGGTAGAAAAATTATATCATCCCATATTTTCTCTCTCTACTTACTTTTTCTTTTTTTGTTAGTTTATTGTACTCGGGTGGTCAAGAATGTAAGATGAGCAATTTCCCAAAATGGTCTCATGGAACATCCTATATATCTCTTATTCCCGTTTTCACATTTTTTTTTGATATAATGCTTATGAAGGTTCACTCAACTGGTTTTTTAGTTTCTAAAATCACAGGGACTCCTGGACTTTTCGACTTTATTTAATTTACACTAAAAACACACGAATTCGGACCACTTGCCGCTACTAACAGAAAATACATTTTTTATTTTGAAAGTTATTGCATTTTTTTCATATACCTTGATATTCGATTTACAAAAATGCTAATTGTAAGTCAAAAACCATTCGTACAGGCTCCCATAAACCTTATATTAAAGAAAGCTTGAGAAAAGAGGGATCAAAAAGTGAGAAAATACTGGGTGGTTCATTTGAAAATATTGAGAAATTGTTGGTTTTGCTTTCTTAACCACGCTGTATGGTCTATCAAGAAAACTGCAAGAGTAAGTGGATAGGGGGAAAATGTGGTATCATGAAATTCTTCTGACGAAAAATTCGGTACTGTAGCTGCAGCAGTTGGGGAGGTGCGAGTTATCAAAGTTAAGTGTATTTTTTTCGATACTTTGTCCAATATCTCAACAATTCAGAATTCCTATAGTATGTCAAATTAAATTGCTTTATTTGAGAGAACATATAGAATCTGCAATAAGATCTTTCTACTTAAATCACCGCATAGTTATGATTCAATCGATATGAAAACTGCATTCCATATAGATTTTGTTACATGTGATGCCTTTGGTTTATATATAAATAATAAAAAACAAAAATATATTGCTTCCATATACATTCAAAATAGAAAAATAAATAAAAAGATTTCCAATTTCCGTACTGTTGGATACAATTTTTGTAATTAAGTTAACAACCGAGCACACACTAAAAACTCACCGTGTTCGAGGGTAGCTAATAATCAATGCTTAATTGATGCTACAACTAGGGAACGTCGTATATAATCCGCATAAGAAAAGATTTCGTTGATAATCTAACATTGAAATCACCATTTAAGCGTGGTCGTTGAAGAATGAAGTATTCTCTACCCAAAATTGGGCATTTAATAGCCGAAATACCTTAATTGCATCCATTTTTAAATTCTAGTTTTTACCCTGGTGTGGTGAAAATCGTTTTAAAAATGAATCTCATTCAGATTCTCTGGTTTTACCGCCAAATATTAGGATTTGATTTGTACTGCGGATAGTGATAGAACATGATTGTACACTTAAAGTCAAACTGTCAACGCCAACGAATGCCAGCGGCAGGGTAACATTTTAAGAACGGAGCATAGAAAACCTTAGTAGCTACATCACAGATTTCGCACGAAATTTTAATTTTGATCTTTGGTGAGCAAGTTTTGGCACTTCTGGCTCATTGAAAAATGCGGAATGTACTTCTTAAACGTAGGCAATACCCAGTTGCTCTACCATTTTGATCATCATGACCAACAAGCAGCCGTCGAACTACAAGAGGATATTGATGCAGCTTATAGCTATTCGATTGGATACAATTTAATGATAAATAACTCAAAATCCAAAACCATGTCAGTCTGATCTAACACGTAACGTGAGCGCATCCCAAAAATTGGATCAGAGCGCATAGATTTTTTTGTTCTATAAATTGTTAATCATTTTAATATTATTTACCAGCATTGTTAAAAATGCAAATAGTGCAAAACAATTGTATCAGAATCAAGTGTGGCTTAAGAAAATACGGCCACCTTTGACTACTTTTCATTATTTGGTCTTTATGCATAAACTGCTGGCAACTGCTTAATCCAAATATCTAAGAGAAAACTACACAACAAAACACCTTTCTTTTCCAGCACTCATTTTCCTATAGTGATGCTGGTCTCTAGAATAATATTCCTGTTGGCTATAAAATATAAATCTGCCTTGTCTCCGTAAGCTTATTAACTTATACTTTCAGAGCTCTACGTTATAATGTTTCTTTTGTTTGTTCAATTTTTGATAACAATATATACAGACAAGCGTTATATTATAGGTACTTTGGCTGTGTTTTTATAGGCATTTTACTGAATAGTTGGATGTTTAATATAGTTGGTTTGAATACTAATGTGTGCAATTGCAATAGAAAAACTTTATTTATATATTTACAAACTTGATTTCGTATACATATAGTCAAGTGTAAGAGTAGCTTTAGCTGAACTTCGCCATAATGAATCACACTTATGTAGCTATGTTAATAAAGACGATATATATATAATATATATATATTATTTTTATTATTAGAATATTGATATTGCATCTCAATATTTTTTATTGAATATACTCCATTTCGGCACGGGTATTGCGTATCTCGAAAGGTGACATCGTCGGTTTTTCATAGGTTTTTCTCCCAAGATTTAAGCTTATCACAAGCTGTTGTATACTTGTTATGAACTCGTTTTTGTGGCTGTAACCTACGTGTTGCTTAAACTAACAGCGACCATAGCGAGCAACTTGGAATGAACTATTTTGCTCACCTAGTCTACAAGATGACACATTCGTCGGGTTTTTTGACGTTTCTTAGGTTTTATACCCGTGCGGTCCGACATCAAAACCTACTTGTTACCTTTTTTGGGTACCCAAAGGCTATTCTGGACCTTGCACTATGAACTCAAATTGCACAATGGTCCTAAAAAGATCTATCAAGAAATCTCATTTACCTGTAGAATATATGATAGTTCCTCTCTCCTTCATTCTGAGATACAATCCTACTCTTCTCCAATAAATACTGCTCGATTTTAGCTCCCTCAATGTTTCCATTCTTATTGAATTTTATGTCAATGTACTTTCCAAATCGCGAGGAGTTGTCATTTCTGACTGTCTTAGCATTTCCAAATGCTTCCAAAATAGGATTGGCCTCCAAGATCTGCTGCTCTACCCACGAGTGCTGACCACTAGCCGATGCCAGGTACTGGAGGATTAACTTGGTGCTCTCTGTTTTTCCGGCACCACTTTCTCCACTGCAAATTAGGTGCAAAGAACTTAAGAATACAAAAAGTAACAACATAAAAATAGTGCTATAGTCTTGTGAATGCGCCCATCAACAATAAAAGATAATCATAAGGGCGTTGCTTGGGCAGTGCAGAGTCAACCTACTTGAAGTAATTTTTTTATGTTGTTTACTAAGAGATAAGTCGAACTTACCTTATAACTATGCATTGATCCTTGGCACTGTTCTTAAGATTGGAGTAGCTGTTATCTCCGATAGCAAAGATATGCGGTAACAGGTCTTCGGTATTTTGGTTTCTGTATTCTTTTATTAGAGCATTTGTATAGATTGGAAGGAGCTCATAGGGATTGATAGCTATTAACATAGAACCCGTATATGTCTGAAAATGCAAATTAGAACATTGGTAGAAATTTCTCCTTTCTACATAAGTGTCTTAAGTCTTCTATACAGGAAACCGTGACAAAATGTATTTGGAGTAGAAAAAGGAGTCAAGAAATAACACGAAATGCTTAGGTGAACTTGGGTCCTAAAATGCCTCCCTTACCGAAGTACAAAATGCTGAAGTTTTAATTTTGGAAATCAAACAAAACATATTCCCGGAGTTTGTTTTGAGACATGTGATCTTGTACATTAAGTACTAACACCATAGCTAATTCATGCTAAAATTTTCGTGCTTGAGACCACACCAGTAGCATAGAAACTGGGAAAAGTTCCACTCCTACAGAATAAAATAGCGAATATTTTTTTGTGTGAGATAGCACCTTTTGGAGAAAAATAGGTAAAAAAACGTTTATCCGATTACTTGAAATGAGCCCAAATTAGTCAAATTTGACCTAGCAAATTTTATATACCAAGTTAGGAGATTAATCTTCAAATGCGACAGCACAAAATGCCATCCATTACCAGAATCGACCACTGCGAAAGTGAAAACAGCAAGCTATCAGTTGGAACTGTATGCCAGTTCGCATTGTCAGCTGAGTCACCACTAATGCCGCTAGATGCCGTCGATTCTGGTCCTATAGTAGATACGGTCTTCTCACCATGGAACAAGCTATAGGTGGCCAACCATGTACAGCTGTTTCGTGCTATTTGGTAACTACTCAGCACTGTCACTGGTGAATGGCTGACAATTCAAACTGGTATAAAGTTCCAACTGACAGCTTGCTGTTTTCACATTTGCAGTAGTCGATTCTGGTAATACTGATACGTTATTTTTAAAGACCTCATACTTTGAATAGAGTAGAGTTGCTCAGCTTTCGTTAGTTGTCCACCGAGACCAAATCAACACCATCCTGAAGAGTTGCCAGATAGCACGAATCAGCTGTCTATGGTTGGCCGTCTGTGGCCAGACGAACGAAAACGATATTACTAGAAAGTAATCATATCTGTTAAGATTGTTATTTTTGGATGTACTCCCTACTTCAGAAACATTGCAACGTTTTTCTGAATCATCCTATATAGAACTCTATGAACTATTGAATTCTGTAAAATATTTCCTACGTAGTCAATCAGACTAGTTTTAGTTACAAGGAAAAATAATTTAGCTGTACGCCGCCGCCGGTTAACATTCTAGAGTATCTCCAAATCCTCGAAAACGGCGTTTTTCTTATTTTTCTACTTACATAAATCAACTTTTCCTTATATCTTTTATGAAGATTTCTTAGGATTGCATATTCCTGAAGATCTCCAAGGTTGATCATATCTTCAACTCCCTTGATCGAGGACACGTGCATATTTTTGAGCACCTGTTGATTGGAAATATACATTTCCTTTTGGTCGTCATCTTGAATCTTCACTCTGCTGGATTCTACTGCAACTATTTTACCACCTATCGGGATATCAAACTCGTCTCCGGATAGTTGTTTCGCCCATATGTAGTCTCCCTGCATAATAAAATGAAAGCACTGCCTGTATCATGGTGGTTTAAAAATGACACTCTGTGGTTCTGATCATTGAGCTTAAATAAACAATAATAAAATGAATAGACTCCCTTTACTAGAATTGATTGAATGAGCAATTTTATAACGAACGTAAGTAGCTACTTTGATTAGACAATTTATCCATTGTGTTTCTAGTCCATTGCTTTCCATACTGAGCGATAACGCCCCTTGTGTGCGCTAGGGACCTGCGGGGGGCGGTAAAGTGTCAGAAGGAAATTGGGGGCCATTGGATTAATTTGGGGGGCTAGCGACGCAATGGAATACTTTTGTCCCCGCTCTTCAATTGTCATATTATTTTGTAGAAAGTACTGATGCAAACAACCCTACCAATTTTTAATTGTTGATACTACACCCGTTCTTCAAAATTGTCATAAGGGCATTCGTTCTCAAGAGCACTGTGCAACAGATGACGGCTCTTCAATTTTCTATCGCTAATACCCCCGAGACGGGAATCATATTGAACACTTGGACAGTTTCGGGAAGCGCTAGAAAATTATTGATTCTCAAAGTGGGCAATAGGTGGGAACCTTGAACCTCTGATCTATAGATAATAGCTGGAAGCTCATACACCGCCGTTCAATGTTTCCGGATACCTTGATGCAAGGAAGAATCCAAGAGAGAGGTCATGAGGGCCATGTCCCAATCGAGAAGACCAGCCAACCCCATTCCCAGCTCTTCAATGAGGAAGTTTCCTATTACTTTAAATGGATATAAAATGATAGTCTGATGGTTGTATCGTCAGTCGTTCCTACAATTGGAGGACGCGTTAATGACCTTGATTTCATAGTTTTCGTCTGTTCCGTGTCAGCGCTCTATTTGTTATGTTACAAATATCTATTTGCATCAAATTTTTCATGCTTTTGATATATATCATCTGGTATATAGCCTGAAATTTCCTACAATCCAGAAAGAAAACGTAGCCTCACATTAGGAGAGTGCTGACCCTGACACTGATCAGTAGAAATCTAGAAATATTCCAGCCTTTCTGAAGGAGAGAGAAAAGCCTATGAAAATAAAGGAGACCTTAAAGGCGTCCTACAATTGTAGGAACTACTGCCGTATTTACGATTTACGGTACAAATGGGTGAAAAATGGGTCAGACCATCGACTTGCAAATACTGCATTGTACCTAGGTTTACAAATACAGTCATGTCAGGTCCAGAAAAACATATTTACCTGTGCCAAAACATAGAAGACGATAACATTGCTTCATTCGGAAATAATAATAATAAAAAAATAATAATAGTAATAATAAATGGGCTTTATTTCGTACAAAAGAGAAGAGTCGTTAGGAGTAGTGATTTTCACATTAACCTTTAATTTTGAAGCGTAACAGACAAACTATTATCTAATTTAATAGCGTTCTAACTAAATGATTTTTTGTACACTTTTAGAATGTAAGGGTATACATCTATTCCTTGTATTTAGTTGATTTATGTCACTACACCATGCTAACTTATGCAAATATCGTAGTTGTAAACAATTCACATTCACATGTATTTTTTATTTCCAAGTTGTTACACTCTCTCATTATAGGAAGCCGGTTATCGTAGATTTTAATGTCAATTTCCGTTTCGATAGATGTTCTTTTCTTGAGCTGAAGACCCTAACTGAAGATTTAGATGGATTAATTGTTATGTTATGCGAGCACGAGATGTCTACTAGCCTTGTTAAATCTTCGTTGATTGATTGTCTCAGCCGTTTTAAAATCTTTGTATTGAAAACCAAAATTAATTTGAGTATCATCGGCATAGTTACGGATTGTACAATTATGAACATATTGGCGGAAATCTTATCAACAGAGAGAAAAGTAAAGGACCCAATATGGAACCCTGAGGAACACCATACCCTATAGCAGTTGATTCCGAAATTTCGAAGCTTGTTGGATCTTCTGATTTCTATTTGACAAATAACAGCATATGAAATTGACTGCAGCGTCAGTAAAACCACAGTAAATCAGCTGAGGTGGCAAAATTTCAGGGTCTAGGGAATAGAACCAAACATCAGTGATATTGGCTGATGGGTAATAGAGCCGTTGTTGAGCTATGGTTTCCCTGAATCCTGACTGCATTGATGGAACTATTTTATTACTTAAAACATACTCGAATATGTTTATATTTATTTCCCGTTCCAAAGGCTTGGAAAATGCGGGAAGTAGGCTAACTGGCCTAAGTTGCGATACAGAAGTGGAAATCAGTACTTTAGGGATAGGTATGACGACAGCCTGTTTCCACGCATCTGGGAACAGGATGTTGCTATGGCGTGATTGATAATATAATATATATAAAATATTGTACTGCTGTAAATATATAATGTTGATGTTAGTAGAATAGAATAATAACGTAATTGGTGTAAACGAGAATGATGATCGACTTTGTTTGTTGCTTTTATTTCAAGATAATGTGAATATTGTTATATTAACAATGTGGTGCTCGAAAAGGAATACTCCTTAAATCCCTTCTGTGTTGACGTGGAGATGCGTAGACGTGATTCGGGATTCAAAAACCTGGCTAAAAGTGCAGAAAATTTGTATAAACTCATAATTTCACATTTAAAATAACGATAATGAGATGTGGCAAAATTGATTGCGGAGTCGGAGGTATGTATAGTTACTATGATAGGACATTGTATTACTTGTCAATCAAGACATGACAATATACGAGGCGCTATCACAAAGCAGAAACCACGCCTCGACAATGGTCCTCAGAGCACTTTTATTCAAAAAAATTGTCTCTTCATTACGTCGGATTGACAGTTTCTTCATTGGAAAGGGATAGCACAAGATTGTTGGTTACCAAAAGATTCGCACAGGAAGAGCGGGAGATTTGTTATATGATCACAATTAACGATCAGAATCACTTTTCAAGTTTTGAAAAAATTATTTGTCAAAAACAACAGGAAGGTACATCATAAACCATGGATGAAGTCTTGTTTCAGTTCTCCAATTTCCAAGTTCTTTGAGTTGAACTTGGTCGACCTATATAACTTGAAAAGGACGTAAAAGGAGCTTAAAAAGGTCTATCATCGAATAGTTCGTCACGATAATAGTAAAAAAGGATCTATTCAAAAATAATAATACTAATGTGTAAATATAAACTAGTGCTGTAAAAACATTTCCAGTCATTTTATTTGATGCAAATTTCACGCTAAGGACTAACATGATCAATAAGCATATTATAACTAAAATATTATTTCTCCTTCAATTCATTTTCTCAGTTTTAATATCAGTAATTGTCAAGTGCCCGCAAATTTTTTAACGATGGTGTACAACAACCGTAGGGCTTTACATTAGGCAAACTGTCGAAATTCAAAGTTTTGAGCTGTTGCTCAAAATGAATGCTGGCCACTTCCACCGTTTATTTGAAAAGAGGTACTACTAGAGATTTACGTGAGTTTTCATTGTCGTTTATTGTTTCTTTTTGTTGGTTAAACATCGACCTTTGACGAGGTATATTGGTCGCTCCGGCTTGATAGTCAATGCCCGAAACACAAAACTGTAGTTGACGCCGCGCCGTCCGAAACTGTCGGTCACTCGGCGATCTGACTTTTCATTCAACAATTTAAACACAACTAATAGTAGAATTCTATTTGATTATGTAAAGAAAATTGTAAGTTTGGATGTGCTGAAGAACACAAAACTCTACTTGAATATTATTAGAAGAATCAGAATTTACTACTGATCTGAATATTATTATGACAATATGAACAATATGAATGACTTACCAACATTAATTTTTGATTAGCCATTTTGCCGTTTACGTCGCCAAAAATATACAAAATTGTTACATTTGTTTCCGCCTTATCATAACGGATCGTACACTTGAATGTGTCACTAAATAGATTAAGCGATATATTTTTTCATTCATCCCTCATGATATGCGCTTATCTACATGTATATTTTATAGCTATTGATTGGAATGTCTTATCATGAAATACCAGGTATTTTAGCTAGCATAATTTGGCTGAATTCTACAATTCAGTAGCAACAACCAAACCTAAAATCCTAGGTGATACAAGGACATGCTCTTAGATAAGCACTGACGGCTTCAGGTCATGATTAACGTACAGGGTTTGTCCGGAAAGTAATAGGACTGAGTCGATTTAAAAAAATTTATTGAGCCAATCGTTACAATTCTTTAAAAACTTTCAAAATAGGCTCCTTCTGCGTCGATGCAGTCGAACATCTGGGCAATTAAACGAATACACAGGAGTCACATTATCGGTGTTTGTCGAAGTCGAAGGTCTTCCAGCACGGTCTTCATCAGCGACCTCTTGCCCCCAAAAAGGCCTGGTGCCACCGAAACACACCACTTCTTGCTAAAGCAACACCTGGGTAAGCCTGCTTGATCATATCAAACGTCTCTGTCGCAGATTTACCGAGTTTCACACAGAATTTAATCTGCGAAAACACGTCGCGCGAAAATGCCTGTCCTGACTCTCCAAGTGCTGGGAGACATCTGTCCAGCCCTATACCGAATCCAGTCGGTGCGCGCACGCTCCGAAGTACAGTCATGGCGGAAGAAAATGAGTCCTATTACTTTCCGGACAAACCCTGTATACTACCTGAGGATTGGTAGCCAAATACTATTTTCGCGCGTCCAAAAAGTTATCCGACATGAAATGCGATACCGTAGCTTTTTACAGCTGTTTCTCTATTTTCCATATAAGCTTTGATAATGTTAGTGTCTCGTAGATGACGCTGTAACCAATCATATGAGTATATACGAACAAATAGGCGGCGCCAACTATAATGAGAAAGTAAGCTTCTTGAAGTACATACGGTGAGGTTCAAATGTTGGTGACGTCGTAATGTGTACGAGAGCGAAGCGCGATAAGCGTGAGGTATCTATGTTAGAAAGTGTGCGCCGATGGCTTCCGTGACCTCGTACTCGGGTTGCTAGGCAACGAAGTGCATCTACCTCTTTCTAACACGCGTATTGCACGTTTCTAGCACCTCTCTCTCGTACAGATTACGACGTCAAACAGCTATGACAGATTATCATAGATGTGTCTCATTTTATCTCGGATAATTTTTGGAAGTGGAAATATATCATCCTAGTAGTGGTTATCTTCTAGCAGGACACGTTAACTAATGCTTCAAAGTACATAGGTAAGTAGACGGGTGTTGAAGTTTTTTATACGGATTTCGCCTCAAATCAAGCCAAAGTTTTTTAAAAGGAGTAGCCATGGAAATAGAACATCTATATATTAAAAAATGATGTTTCAAAAAGTCAGTAGCGTAAAAAATAATTTCATTTTTCTTCTATATGGATCAAAATATATACACTACTGCTCTGTAGTCGCAAGCACCAACATTTTTGTATGTATTAGCTATGATAGCAGCACTAGACGTAGGTATAATTTTAGGCCAACATCTTTATCTGCTCCTAAGATATATTTTTTTGCACTGGGGCACTTCATTTTTGAATGTACTTTGTGCCCTAGCGATAGTGTGTGCCACGTATTTCTGAATTGAAGATAGTTGTAAAAATTTCATAGCTAATTTTGGAACACCCTAAAATATCTTTGAAGTGTACTGAAAGAGGCATCGTACAAGATATTTTGAATCCTAAGCAGTTCAAAAACAACGTATTCAAAGTATCTGTCTGTTGGTCTGTTAACATTTTCTCCTATGTGACATAATGTGGGATTATAGTAGATGACGCAACTTTCAGTGGTGGCAAATAAGCTACAAGCAAGAAAACTTCGTTTGTGTACTTTTTACCCTCCTGATAATTTTTGAGCATAGTGAGAAATATTAAAAATTGTACATAGTCTTGCAAAATATGCAAATTTGGAGATCCAGACGGATTCTCAGGTTAGGCACGGTACCTAGAAAACAAACATGAATTTTTTAATCATATTCTTTCAAATTTTTTAACAGCGCACCAAGAATAAACATTCTTCCATACTATGTCTTCAACCATCTCTCAGTACGGTCCTGTCTGATTCATCTTGAGGCACGTAGGCTGAGTGAAGACGTTAGTTCTGAATTAAGTGGTAGATGGCAATCCATTTGCATTTATTTGTTTTCAGAGTTTTAAGCTTAGTTGATATTCACTTCATTAACAGTTACAATTATGATATGTTGAGTTTTTCTATAGGCTGTATGTTAATATATTACTCATATTTGTATCTGCTGTTTATTTATCCCAAGTTTTCATTCAAAGTTACTTAGCGCCATCTATGGCAAATATTTTCAACCTCATACGGGGTTCTCAGTTTTGCTTTCACTTTGGGTTTGCTTTTCAAAATCCCTTTTTTAGCCTTCCAAATTGGACTAATGACAATAATTGTCATATTGTACGTTACGTGCCGGTGTATCTCAACCATCATAATAACACAAATTATTTGAGGACAATGTATGTGTGTCACATAATCCTTTCATGATAATAAATTCATGTGGAAATTTGATACGCCAGCAGCACGCCTAATCATAAATTTAAATCTCCCTCCGCATTCTTGACAAGTGACAGTTAGGCAGGTACTTGGATGTGTGTTGATTGTTGTTTAAAGTTGTGAATACAGGAATGTTGTGGAAATACAACAAAAAGGAGTGTACTGGACCTTTGTGAATAAAATAATCTAGAAAAATATGCGGTAGGACTTCAGCACCGCCCCACACAAACGCGTGAACAACAAATGTTTAAATGGAAGCATCCTCCATTATAACTCAGGTGTCAAGGGACGACGAACATCTGAATAGTTATGCTAACGAAAAAGGTAAATACCAGAGGAAAAACTTGATGTTGCACTGACCCAGAAGCGAAAATATAACGTAATATTTAAAGGCATACGCCTTCGCAACGCCCTGTATTTATATCTGGAAAGCCCAATGTAGGCGTGTAGAGATGGTAAACATTGGAGTAAACATTTAAAAACTGGATTTGTATGAGGCTAGTTTATCAATTTGAGTCATTTTTCATTATCAGTAGTTCTAATGTAATTCACTAGTATTGGAACTATCAATTAACACATAGTTTGTCCCAATCATATATATGCAAATTATTTTTATAGGTTGATATCTCAAGATGTATGACAGCTATTTATGACCTCTTTTAATTTAAATGGAATGATAAGTTGGTATTGGTTTTACTTTCACATCATGTTCATCTGGTGTTACTGCTTTGAAAATACTGTGTTTTTTGAAATTGCTAGGTTTAGTTAGTATACCTTTAAAAATCACCTCAGGCTATTTCCTTGTAATGGCAGTACATGGTATTTCCTAATCCTCCTTTCTATTATATTATCATAATGCCTCACTTCAGATATACAGAAAGCAGAAAACCAAGTTTAGTATTTGTAGAATCACTGAAGTTGCCAAAATAAAAGAAATACCATACTTTGTTTTAGCATTAAATTTATTTCAGTTATATACATGATGTTTAATACATACAAGTTCGCATATAACATTGCATGGAAAAGTTTATACTAGATGCTATTGTTAGAGCAGAGTTCAATTTATAGAGGGACTCCTTTTACTTGCAAAGACAATCTTAACCTGGTGTTTGGTAGAGCACAGTAAAACAGTCAGGGTTATAATCATATCTCTAGCAGGATCCTATGTACACAAGTCATCTACCTTTAAGTGTGAACATTTATTTGTATAAGCTTAGGAATGTACATTCTCTAGTTTTGTCTCATCACCTCGATTTTGTCGTAACATATGGGTGCTCTGTAACTAAGGTTCACACTATCAGTGTATCTGTCCATATTCCTCTTAAAATTACTGAAATAAAGTGGCTGTCTAGTAGTCATACAAGGACAATATAGTCCAGAGAATAATCCCATGAATGTATGTTTCATATTTAATACATTTTATGAATATGATTATAGCCCATATTATAATTTAATGCACTTCACTGCTCAAATATAGTATCACCAAAATCAGATATTGAACATTCCTCCTGTTTTGTTAAAATTTGTTTTTGTCAATCAACTTTTTCATCCATTTTATTCACCCTCACATGTTTACAGGGAGTAGCCCTCCCATTTCAAAAAAATATCAATTTCTGAAGGAATATCAACTTGCAGAGGTAACATTTTGTTAAAATTTGATAAAACAAGAGTAGGTATGTTCAGGTATATCAAGAAAATTTAACCAAAGTCATAAAAGAAAAATAGTTCATTTTTAGATAAATGTCACGTGTTTACTGTGATCTGTCAGTATGTATCTAGGAATGTCATATTGACCATGTAGCCTGGAGTCAGTAATTATTGATATGGAAGTCCACTGATACTGATTGAATGACCAGCAACTACTGATGGAATGGACTGTAGTAAATACTGACTGTGACATTTTGGTGATTGGCATTTTATTTTTTATGAATATTGGATGAACACCTGTACCTTCCAAGTGTCAATATATTTTGATTAAACTAATTCACACATTGTTACACATTGAATCTTGAACATGAAACATTTCCAGACTCATGTTTACATGGACTTTTTTCTCAGAATCACTGTAAGAACCAAATATTCAAAGTTTTGCCAGATAGTTTAATATCACCATATAGGAAAAATGCAAATACCAGTGACTAAAAAATTGTAATTATTTTGAATTCTCTCAGTCAAAAATGATGGAAGTGGCGAATCAACACCATCAGACACTCCTGAGCCTGCCGCAGTGCCCGTCCTGCCAAATGCCCAACCGAAGAAAACCTCCCAAGGCAGCAAAGCAGGCAACTTCTTTCGTACTTTGTTCTGTTGCATCCGAGGCAAGAAGGGCAAGGGGCCGGCGGGTCAAGGAGGCGAACAGTGCACGGATGGGGCCCTTTACGCAGCTGGCGGCAACAGGTGCTCTTACTTGCTACCTCCTGTCAGGCACCAAGATATGTACAAGAAGTGTATGGTGATTGATTTGGATGAGACGCTGGTGCATAGCAGTTTTAAGGTGAGGTTTGTAAAATATGCAATAAATTGCAAATGAAGGGTAAGAGGGGGGGTAGTGACTGGCCTAAGTAGCCTGACTGTTGACCAGGGTTGTTATATTTTAATCAAAATGTTTTCAACACTGTTTAAAGCAATGATGGTGTTTTAAACCAATTTGTTTTAATCTGTTTAAAACATGTTTTAAACACAGTTTTTTTTATATTCTTTTAGTATGATTAAAATTGATTTTATTTTGCAAAATGAAACTAAAAGGGCCATAGGTTAAAACACATAGGTACTAAAAAATATAGTTTATTTTTTATTAATTAATCAAACATGAAACTAGTGGAAAAAAATATGTTTCTCAACGAATGAGTGAACTTAATAAACTGCATTGAACTCTAATACTAGTACTCTACAAGCAGCTGAATAATCATATAATATGACTATGTATTTACTTGTATAATAACATTCAATAGGTTACTTAACAAATTTCTGAAAGTGTACAACCCATCTTATTTAACAAAAAATCCTTAAATCAATTATTTTTAAAATATAAAATCATGGAAAATGTACATAAAATAAATTTTTAGTTTTCACTACTTTTTACTAAACTCCAAGAAAAAAAATGTACCTTTTTCACAATTCTCCAAGCTACTTAACTTTGAGGAAATAGGTTCGGTAGAAACATCATCATTGTCAGTATCAGAACTATCTGATATATGAATATATTGTTTTTCTAACAAGCCTCCTTGTTTAAGTTGTTTACAATTTTTTATATGTTTGCGCATTCTAGCCACCAGTGCATATTGCATGTTAAACATTTTGCTCTTTTATTTATTTTCGAACCAGCTTTGGCATCAGTCTCCTTAAAATATATCCACATGGGATCCTTTATCCTCCCTCTCATTGCCTTTCTTTTTTGCCGATCTTTAATGCACGAAAAACAAAACACACCAGCACGCTACGACTTCGTACATTTGACTGCTGGAGATCCCAACGCGAAACATTACCCAAAGGCAAACGGTACCTCCCCGACGTCCGCACGGTAGTTTCCCGACGTCTGCTTTTAAATTAGAGATGCTCTGATAGAGCTGGATCAAAAATAGTAAGAACACTTTCAAGGAACTTCATTAACGTTGCTAACTTATATAGGCAATAGTTTTTTAATTTTTTTTATTGTTTTAAACATGTATTGACAGTGTTTTTTTCAGCCTTATTTGAATGTTTTAAACAAAAAAAACATGATTTTTGTTTTTTTCAACCTTGCTGTTGACGATACTGAAGAGGGGAGTTAGGCATAATAATATTTCAAGAATAAATAATTAATTGAAAAGTGGGGGTGAGGATGGGGGGTTATTAGACACGTGTAATCAAAACGAAAGTATAAGTTCATTCAGAGGGGCGGATGCAAACAGAGGAAGGGGGACTTCTGGGAGCAAATATTCTTTTGATATTGATCTTTTGAGCGGCGGAAAAAATTTCTGCGTATTTACCTTTTCTCTGTGATCTTTTGGAAGGCTCTTTCTCCTGGTTATCGTACAAAAACGGTAATAATCGTACATGTAGCAACACTTTATAAAAAGTGTCAGGATGGGATGTCGTTGATATGCTTGGAACACGATTCCTTGACGTAATTTGACCATAAACTGGGCTTAGTACACAGAACTTGCTGGTCCTCGTTTCATGTTCCATTAATCTACACAAATATCAGCAAAAATCGATTACAAATTAATTGGCGTCAGAAATGATAAAATCGCCAGATATCGCCAATTTGTAAAGTAGCCAGTAGTCAAGCTCATTTTAGTCGCCATTTGACGGCATCAAATCGCCACTTTAGTGAAAAATCGCCACGCCTGGCAGCCCTATCCAGAGAGCCTTTATCGGTAATTAATGTGATTATTTTACGATTTGATCAGACATGCTTGGCGATTTAGATGATCATATTGTTAAACGATTTGTTATTATTGATATGGTCAAGCCACATCCTGATCTGGCCACTAGATAATAAATTTCAAGGAATGCGACTTTTTCATCAAATGTTCGGTCATTTAATGAAATTGTCAGTTTAACGATATAGCCATGACAGTTACACCGTAGCTAGTCAAGAGCTTGCATAGTCCGTAGCACACGGTGTAAACGGACACAAACGCACAGAACAACACGAATTATTGGTGAAGCGAACGATTTTTTCATTAATCTCTTTTTGCAGCCGATAACGAACGCCGACTTCGTAGTGCCCGTAGAAATCGACGGCACGGTGCACCAAGTGTACGTGCTAAAGCGACCTCACGTGGACGAATTCCTGAAGCGGATGGGCGAGCTGTATGAATGCGTCCTTTTCACGGCCTCATTGGCCAAATACGCGGACCCCGTTGCGGATCTTCTCGATCAGTGGGGCGTGTTCAGGGCGAGACTATTCCGGGAGAGTTGCGTCTTCTACAGGGGCAATTACGTCAAGGACTTGAACAAGCTCGGCAGAGAGTTGCAGCAGATCGTTATTGTTGATAACTCGCCTGCTTCGTATATATTCCATCCGGATAATGCTGTAAGTATGGTTTCTAATATTTTAGGGTGGGTCAGTTTTAATGAGTCTTGAGTTGTAAGAAAGAAATGTTGGTTATGAATCTTAAGTCCGACGAGACTAGTATGATCTCATTGTTTTTGGTGTCTGGAGTAGGATAGATTTCTTGGTGCTCAAAAACTGCTCCTTTGATTTACATATGAACATTTATATTGTTACTTATAGTAGTAGTGGTAGTGGTCGGGAGACAAAGCCTGACAAGTAGGCTACCTTTGGGCAATCTTAGGTGTATCAACAGATGTTTATTTATGTTTAGACCTCATGATACACAAATCCCATGGCTCCGAATATTTCAGCCCTTAGACTGGAGTATACTGGCCAATAGTCTAGAAAGTGGAACACCCCTTTCAGATAGAATCTTTTTTACCCTTAAAAGGTATAAGTGACTGTTTAGTCTACAGTGATCGCCGAGACCGATGGGGGTGCTTCTGGTCCACAACTTAGCCAGGAAATTAGCTATCTCGATTCCCGGAACTCGGTTGTGTCCGGCGACCCAAAGCATGGTCACTTCTTTCGATCTTGCTAAACTCTGAAGAGAAGTAGCGCGTTCCTGAACTACGGGTGACACTCCTCGGAGATGCCGTTACCCTCAGAGCTGCTTTTCTGTCTGAGCATCTGAATATATATGCTGCTGAATCTCCTCTATGTCAACTTTAAGATGGGAAATATCTGGAGGATAGTTGTGCAGGTTCCAGCGCGAAGCTTTCCTGCACGTCTTTGCTTTGCAGGTATACTCCGCTTCACTGGATCCTGTTTACTCGGAAAAGCATTTTTCTTTTCATTTCAGTTATTTATTCATGTTAATACAAAAAACTGTTTACTGTTACTTTAACACAGAAGAAAAAGTCTCATCATATAGCATGAGAGCCACTTACATGGTACATCACACTTGAAAGTTTTAAACAATCACAACAGGTTAAAATCAGTATTTAGAAAATAATCAATTTTGTAAAAAGCATTTTGGATTAAACAATTTCTAATACATATCATTAATTATTTAAAGGTAGCCATCTTATACATTTAGCGGCAATCTATGGAAAAAGTTTATTGCCAAGAACTCCGCACCGTCTTAACACCTTCTCAGTTGCTAATATATAAGATTCAAATTTCTCTTGTTTATGCTATTATATTCGTGAACATTTTCGAAGGTTTTGATCTCCATTTGCCTTGAGAAACATCAAGCACTCATACATATACAGAACTGGACAGTCAGCAGCTTCCATTCAATAATCACATGCTTGCAATCACATCATGAGCTTATAGTACTGTGTACTCTGCTCATCTCAATTATCATAATAATAATAATAATCTGTAGGTATTTCAGCCCTGCTATCAATTCCAACTGCCCTCCTTTGCAGCCCAAATACTAGCTGCCTCAGCAGAGTGACCCCATACAATAATTGCATATACCATGTGCGACGTAACCAATACCATTTGGCGACACTTCTCGCAATAAGTTGCGGAGGACATGAATATTTTCAGAAAGTTTTATGGATAGAACATCAATGTGGCTTTTCCATTGGAGTTTACCGTCAAGCGTCGTATCTAAAAACTTAACGTGATCTTCATTTATGATATTTATTTCTTTCGGAGACAAAAATCCAATAGGAGATTCATTGGACTATTTTGTCCTATGATGGTATTCAAAAAGTTACTCCGCATTGAAGATGCAGGGCAAAGAACATTCTTTTAGTAACATTTTATAGAAAAATCATGTGATGCTTCTTGATCTACCAAAACGGTTAAAAATGACTACCTCCAGGTACAATGCAAAGCTATAGTCATCCCCTCAGAGACTTTCTCAAATACACGAAAATAATTTTGTATTGAATTTCATCCAGAAATGATGGGATTTTTCACATTTTCTAGCAGTTTCTAAATGGTTTCATAGGGTGTCACTTGAAGTGCTAAATCCTCGAATATTTGTTAGAAACTCACGATAAGTTGCTGGAGCTAACTCAATAAAAAATAAATTTATCAGGTTTTTAGCTGTTTGTGTCAAAGATTTTGGAGTTTTGTATTTTAGTTGGACATACCCAGTTACCTGTGAGCAGTTTTTGTAGGTTAAAGTAGGATTTACGTTTGGTCACAATTCTATAGATGCTTGAACATTTTAAAGATGATCTTTTGGTCTTGAGATAAACCCTCTAACATTTACAAGGGCTGTTATGAGATACTTGATTGTATTATTCAAATTTCCATCAGAAACACATCTACAAAAATATTAAAACAACGACCATAGGAAAATTGAAGCTATACCTCGAAGTTCGAAGACAATCCATCGTCTCTTTTTTTTAAATGCGCCCGGAAGTTAATAAATCCATAACGTCGGATCCAATCGTTTGGTACGAAATCATTTTGTTGCTGCTAAACGCGTTCTGTGTGCGATGATTCGGGAGAAACTCCATGTTAGAACCAACCCAAACAATATTAAAATGTTGTTAGCTCTACAGCTTTTGGATAGAACGAGTCTTCTAAAATCATCAAAAGTAGTCTTAGAGTAGTCCAGAGAACCTTCTTTTGGATTTTTGTCCCAGATAAGGAGTTGTTTCAAGCTTCTCTTTGGTAACATGTCTAACTGATTGCTAGTAACTATTCACTATACTTATTGTCTTAGTTAGCTAGTTAGATCCGTAGAGGTCAATATAATTTGTTTATGCAGGTGCCAGTGGCGTCGTGGTTCGACGACATGAACGACTCCGAGCTGATGGACCTGATCCCGTTTTTCGAAAAGCTGGCGAAAATGGACAACGTATACACGGTGCTTTGCAACTCCAACCATCCGTACAACACGACAACGGGACAACAGCAACAAGTCAACGGGCCACAGAACCACGTACAAGCCAATCACTCACCCGCAGGTAAATAATGATAGAGATTGTTAGATCAATCTATAGTTGCTTATGTGTTCAAAATGATGTCATATTTTGCTAAACACTATCACAAATCATAAAAAAATCCTCAAAATCCATGTTTTTGAAATACAATTTGGCGTCAAGTAGTTTAGGTATTTCCCATGCAATTCTGTCATCAATTAGATGATGTTGATCAAAACAGTTAATTGTATGTTAGAAATAGAGCCGACCTACTTGAAACACTGTTTAATTGAAATACTCTGATGAATTTAAAACCCAAATAGGTATGGTCACTTAACTACTATTTGTATACCAGTTGTTGTACAATAAAGTCCTTTATTATTATTGTACTCTAAAGTATACATCTCAAACTATATGTTTAATATAGTCGTGGCAAATGCATGGACTATATGTGTGTGAATATTATATCTTTTCCCTTGCGTAATATTGCTGGAATCAGATACTGATATTATACCAGCAACGTACCTTCCGTTGATATTATTTAGGACGCGGAGAGTTATGTTAAATTTACTACTTGATACAAAAATAAAATGTTCCGCCATCGAAATTATTGCCATCCCGTGGTAAAATATACGCCGCACGCCTATGGCTTGCGTCGAGGCAAAGAGAAGGTCGAGGACGTATACCTTTGCCACCAAGATGGGGATCAGATCTCGAGACGTGTAGCGCAATTGGAGTGATCTGAACGTATTTCGTTTCAATTTGTATAATCGATTGAAAGCTTCTTGATAATAGAACATCTTTCACTGTTACCAACGATACAGCATTTACAACCTCACCACATATTCAATCCAAAATGTTTTCTCCGATTTTTTCCCGACGTCGCCACAGGATCGATTTTCTAAACTCATAAACCTTTTTTGTCCTTGACATAATAGTAACCTTATGTCAGCATTATTGGTTGTAGGTCTCACTAAGATGTAGGATAAATATGTGCTCATAAGCCCAACGTTCTTACATGGGTAGCTTACGACAGACCGACAGCTTGCGCAGCGCAATGGCGGTCGGTCTTTTTGGACGCTGGCCAGATTGAAAAGAACTTCTCGCACAGAAGCCTTCCAACACTTACGTGTCAGGATGGAACGATTGTAACAGACTCAAAGGCCAAGGCGGAAGTGCTTGCCAAGATCTTTGCTGCCCAACGCCCAAGTGCCGTCGATTCAAAGGGTTCCCTACACTAAGCGGGAAATAACATTCAGGCATAACGCCGTAAGACGGGCTCTTGTCGCTCGACATCAACAAAGCGTCTGGTCCGGACTTGATTCCTGCAATTGTACTGAAAATCCGGCACCTTCCCAGAAAACTGGAAATTTGCTCATGTCCAGTCCATCCCAAAAAAAGGATATAAGACCGACCCTTACAACTACAGGCCTATAGCTCTGCTTTCTGTTATAAGTAAGGTGATGGAGAGGTGCATAAATCGCGAGCTTCTGGACTACCTCGAACGTCACGGCTTGATTAGCGACAGGCAGTATGGTTTCCGGCACCAGCAATCCACAGGGGTCCTCCTAGCTTTCGTCACGCAATTGTGGAGTAAACTGGTACAGTCTCATGGTGAAGCCCATGTCGTTGCTCTTGATATCGCGAAAGCGTTCAATCAGCTGTGGCACGCTGCCCTCTTATGCAAACTTCCATCCTATGGCCTCTCAGAAAAACTTTGCAGATGGGTGGCTGACTTTCTCTCTGGCCGATTCTTCTCTTCATCCCACAATGTCAACGCGGGTGTTCCCCAGGGATCGATCTTGGCTCCGACACTGTTGCTGTTACATATCTACGACCTCCTTTCCTGCACGATCAACCCAATCCACAGCTTCGCTGATGACAGTACTCTAAATGCAGGAATTCAGAGTGACAAGCCGATCTCTGCCGCTGAGCTGGAAAAAAAAAGACTGGCGACGACTTCCTCGCTGACGAGAGACCTGGAGGTTTCCACTGCTTGGGGACGCAACAATCTTGTACAGTTTAATGCTTCCAAAACACAGTACTGTACATTGACGAACATCCTGTTTCGATGGATGTCCGAGTTCTGCCAAAGAGTCGTTCATTGCGGCTGGTCGCAGTTCAGATCACCGAGGACTTGATCTGGCATGAACTCATCTCGTCAATAGCGACAGCTGCTGGGAAAAAGCTGGGCTATTTCTTTAGGGCTAAAAAGTACTTTTCTCCGCATGACCTTCTCATTCTATACAAGGCCCAGATAAGGCCCAACCTCGAGTAATGCTCACACGTTTGGGGTGCTGCAGCCCCAACTACACTATTTATGCTCCATACTGTCCAGAGGAGGGCGGTCTGACTGATCGATAACTCTTCTCTAACAGACAGTCTCAGAAACCTTTCGCACCGGCGGGCCGTCGGCGATCTAGCGCTTTTCTACCGCTACACGAACGGGCTGTGCTCCTCAAAGCTCTCTTCCATGATGCCCCCGCGCGATGTGCCTGCCAGACAGACCCGCCTGACTTTGGCCTCCCATCCTAATCGTGTCGAACTTCGTACGTCCGGAACTGGCCGATACGACCGCTCCTTTGTCCCGAGGGTGTCGAGATTGAGGAACAATCTGCAAGAGGAAGCTTTTCTCAGTCTACTAACCTTAGGCAGTTGAAAATTGGATCAACAAAATTTTTTTGGGATCCTTTATGGCAGCCGCGGTGTCCCGGCATTTAGGCTTCTGCCTGCGCGGCTGCTTCGGTATAAAAAAGAAGTATTACTTCCAACGAATTCACCATTTTCACTTTATTGTTCAGCAACTGAAATGTATGTTACAAAAATGCTTCCGGCTCTAAATTATTTGCCTACCGATAGGTCTAGCAAATGTGTTATTGCTTCAAACATTCAAAACGGCGACTATGAATAAAGTATTTTATATGATTCTTAACTAAGCTTCTGTCTAATGGTCTATTTTGAATGAATGCCGAGAATTGTGGAAGCTTTTCTTACTAAACGGTAATCTCTTATATTAAAATTTTAGGTACGTAGCAGGACCGAGACCTGCGCCTTCCGGTGATCATTGTTGTTGCTGCGATCAAGGGACGCTTGTTGTTTTTTTATTGGTTGACGTGACCGAGGAAACGTACGGTTGTTCGGTTTTTTAACCAATGGCTTTTGAGTAAAGTGTTGCGGCGATCCAGGGTTGTTGCCAAAGAATTGCTGTCAGTCGTGCTCCAAGTTGAAACTATTATTTACTGCAAGAATGAGTCAAACGGAATTAGAATGTTATAGGTTACATTGTCTCAGTAGTCTATACTGTATTCAAATCCGATTTACACCTCGCTCCTATTGGCCAGCAAGCCATAAATGTCTGGGCTGGTAACGACAAGCGAATACAAGCGGCGGTCGACTGTTTGTTATAACACATAGTAAAAGGGGTTTGGATAGGGTTTGGATGGTATACATATTCATACCATAAAAATTGTCCTGGTAGCATTTTTTTCACTACCTCTCTTGCCAGAACTAATTAGATGAAAAATTGAGACTCAACGAGCAGGTACTTAATTTGGAGCAGTTGAAACGGCAGTTGATGGTATGATGATATTTTCTTCAATTCCGTTCACAAAGAGCAACTCTGTTTCTCAAGAAGGGGGCAATTGGAAATCGATAAAATCATCGATATCCTAAAATTGCACAACACGGAAAGTCTCGAATCGCATTTTTTTCGAGACATCCTACTGCAGTAAAGGTGAGAAATATGGTATAATATAATATCAAAGCTTCACGGTGAGAACTACATCTTGTAGCTATGTAACTTGGAGCATGAATGTTTGCCAAAACTGTATTTACTTCAGAACATGCAGAATATAATATATATTTTAATATATTATGAATAGTATATTTGTACTAATTTCTGTAATTCGTGTTATTTGATTTTGCACAAAAATATGACTGATGGTAATTTGATTCTTGAGCTAGTCACCAGACTAACACTTTTATATTGGACAAGCAAATAATTTTTGAAAACGTACTTTTTCATCTATTGATGTAATTTAGAAATAGGGTTGAAGTTCTCATGTTCATGTAAAGCCATAAAGTTAAAGCTATAGTATTATGCAAAATTTTGCGCTCAAACGTATTTCGCACTGTACGGCCATATTGAAATGATATAGAAATATTTTTTATACTTTTATATCAGAAGAAATTCAAAAGTTTGTAAAGTATACTCATACTATTATTAATAAGGGACCATAGAGCTTATATTTTTATGAAATTTAAACTGTAAGTTCTACAGCCATTGTTTGACAGTTTTTGTTCTGTATTATTACAATTAACCATTGTATTGAAAAATGAGTAATGCCGTAAGCTGTAGAAAAAATATCATTTCATTTGTAGCTATGGCACTGTCATCTTTTTCAATTCCTTATATAATGACTATTGCTTAAACTAAAGAAAGCGCTCACATGCTAGCATGGGTTCAGATCATGATAATTTCATACCATGTACCATGCACTGCAAGCACTGCTAGCTGAGGTATTATTGAATGACAATAAGAATGCGATTTTAAATTGTATTGATGGTCTTGCTCATATATGATTAAATGGACGCATGTTTTCATGAAACGTAACCTTCCAATATGTTTCATGTCATTTATGACATATTAAATAAATAAATAAGTTACATAAGTATGTTTGATAATTCCATGTAATTCTATTGATTTTACTTTGAAGAAAAAATAACTTGAATGGGAAGTCAGCTTGAAAATCTTGTTTACAGAAACTGTTGTCACATAGTAAAGTATCAACTCAATAGTGACTAAATCCTTCAAAGATTAATTACTAACGACGAACATTGCCATTTTGTAAGAAACTTTCATCTTAATCTGAAGCAAAATATTAAGGTCCGTATATGAATTGTTACAATAAGCAATACATTTTTTGTTACATCACATAAGCTGTTATGTATGCCATTGGTTAAAAAACTGAGTGACTCAAAAAAGTAATATATTGTTATGGCTAGGAATAACATATGCGGATATGTTGATTTGGTTAGTAAATAGTTTTTTTAATGTATGGTCGTCTTATCAGGAGATATTTGTGTGAAATTTGAACTTTGATAATTTGTTATCAAATAAAACTATGCAATTCATACTGGGCGATAATCAGATGTATCATTTTTAAGTACTGATAATTTGCAATAACAAAACATGAGGGGGCTAGATCATTTTAGAACTACGACAGCTCGATGTACCTGGCTGTTACACTTTTAACATACAAGTCTTAAACGAATATAGGGTTATGTTGCGAAATATGTAGTGAGGGCCGTATTATGTGTCCAGCGAAAAAATGTAAAAGGTGGAATAGTGAGATGAGATATCAATATGTGCGTCGGCATCGTCTGAGAAACTGTCGTTGTCAGATACTTCTGATAAGTGAATTATAATTGAGGTATTTAATACCACCCACTGACAGTGCCACGATCGGCATTAGCCGTTTTTTTAATGCTTCCAAAACACAGTACTGTACCTTGACTAACATCCTAGCGCTCATCCGGTTCCGATGGATGGCCGAGTTCGAGTTCTACTAAAAAGCTGTTCATTACGGCTGGTCGAAGTTTAGATCCTCCGAGAATTTGATTTGGCATGAACACATCGCGTTAATAGCGACAGCTGCTAGGAAAAAACTAGACTATTTGTTTGGGGATAAGAAGTACTTTTTTCACATGACTTCCCCACTATGTAAAAGGTCCAGACAAGATCTAGTCTCGAGTACTGCTCACATTGGTTGGGGTGCTGCCGCCCCGACTACATTACCCATGCTCGATGCTGTTCAGAGGAGGGCTGTCTGACTGATTGATGTCTCTTCTATACCTGACAGAGTCGAGACACGCGCCAACGGGCCGTCGGCGATCTAGCTCTCTTCTACCGTTACGCTTACGGGCTTTGCTTTTCAGAGCTCTCCTCCATGATGTCGCCGCCCAATGTGCCTGCCGGACAGACCCGCCTGACCAGCCTCCCATCCAAAACTGACTGGTATGACCGCTTCTTTGTCGCTAGGGTATCGAGATTGTACAACCGACTACCTAAGGAGGTTTCCAGTTCTACTAACCTCATGCAGTTCAAAAATCGGATTAACAAAGTTTCTTTAAGCTCCTCCTAGCAGCAGCGGTGCCCTGGTATATAGGTTTTTGCCTGCGAAGCTGCTTTGGTATAAAAATCCAAAATACCTATTGATTACAATAAAAATTATGAAATAATCATACGGGTATATGTCACGTAGATGTGCAAGGAACATCCTAAGATCTACATTTCACGCACAATGTCTGACGCCATCGCTATTAACAGCCCGCACTCCTTTGCCTTGCATTCTTTCGCAGGACAGATAATGGTTTTTATATAATCTTCATTACCAAAATGATGGTTGCGTTCAAAGAACATAGCGCTGCTCGAGTGATCGCTGACATTGGCACTACTACGTCTACTCGACATCCCTACACGGTTTAGTGAAACAGATCACAGCACCAAACACCATTGTGAAGTGTGGGTGAAAACTTGTCAACGTCAGACGCAGCGATCTCTCGAGTCTCGAGTTATGATGTGTTCTAAAGAAGGCGGCTATTGATACCATGTAAAAGTGCACACCCATTGAAGGGAAACGACATGAAGATAAGCGAAACTGTTCCAGTGGAGCGACGCGAAGCAAAACGACGAGTCAGCTTTGAAATGTGAAAATAACAAATGTCGCAGCGGTTCCCTTCACGTCGTTTGGCCTCATTCGGCGTGCAACTTAACTCGCTCAGTGTGAATTGTTACCTGAAGATATCAAGTATTTGTATGTATGTTACATACATTTTAGACTGTATTTTATTATGCATATTCGAAGTTACACAGTATTTCACACGAATATTCTTCAGCCACTACTATGATATACAGGATGGTTCAGATGTTGATGTCAACGAAACAGGTTGAAAATATTTTGTTAACCATTCACTAGATGTGATGAGACTTGGATATTTTTTAATAACATATTTAAATCTGACGAAATTTGACTGTGTGAATTGTTGGAGAATTCAGAGTTACTTCATTATTTAAGATCTTAAGAATTGAATATTTCTAGTTATTTGGTTCAAAGGTGTAAGCTTCTCACCTTATTTATGTTCTCGACGTTTTTTTTATCTGAAACACCCTGTATAATACGTACCAAATAAATCATAGGGGCCTTTACGTTTGATGCTGAAGAGAACACACTTTTATACGGTTTTTTACATTTTTGCGATGGCTGAAACTACGGACTGAAGCTAAATTCTATTTAAAACTGAAAAAGCCATCCGAGTACATATCAAATCATGATACTCTTTTTGATAAACTACTAGAAAGGATTTTTTCCATGTAGGTATATTTTGTTACCTACCGGTAAGAATTTTAAATAATATTCTGAGACTTGGTTTGGAAGGACTGTTGAAAACACACCTTCGTGTAGTCCTTTCAAAATTCGAGCACATCATTAAAATACTACGAATTGGTCGACAGTGTTTGAAAAAGTGAAAAGGTTGTAAACATAATTGGACAATATGACCATAACTGATATGGTATTCTGTTTAAATTTCACATATTAAGCTATTTTATTTAATCACTAGTCCATCTGGAACAATGAACGCTAAAATTATCGGTCCAAAGACCCTTCAAAATTTTATAGCATACTGACCGACTGTTTTAAACAGGCTTTGTGATTGTAAAAGAATATACATATTATAGATATTTTTATACGCACACATTGCATATTTTGTTACTTTTTGTATATGTGTGCTTTAAGTCAAGAGTAGTGGGGCAGGGACATCACTGTACAATGTGTGTTGACAAAAATCATTACTTTTGTTCAGCATTTATGGCAATTACCACTGTACCATGTTCATGCGTTGGACTATGCGAAACTCTCTGTATCGGAAGCTGCAATTCTTTAAATTTCGAAACTAATAAAAAATGGCGTCTTTCTGCAATTTTTTTTATTCTGCTCTTTCCAAGATTCTGAAGTTAGAGAATTGCACCAAAGACTGAGCAGTATCAATATTTTTAGAGTTAATGTTGATAAGCCCTTCTCTACAATAACAATCAATGAAATTTGCATCTTCTGTGTGGCCTTCTTTTCAACTTTTTGAATTTTTTCTTGCGAAAATCCAGTTTTGGCTAAGAAATATCAATATATTGACTAGAAAGATCAACATTTTTGAGTCCATCTCCAGCTATAACTTCACTTTTCCAGCACAAAAGTTAGATTTTGGTTAAAATACCTACCTCTGTCATATCTCTTGCATAAAAATGATAATGCATAACGTTGGCATCTGTTAAGTCTTAAAAAATTCGAAATGACAGGGTAAGAACTGGTCCGATTGTATGTAAACAATTTTTGATTCCACATTTTCTAAGCTCCAGTGTCCCACGAAAATATCTAAATAAAAAACATGTTTTTCTAGAGTTGTAGGACTACTACTGTTTTTCATTTTGACTTATATGTGAAAATTAAACACATTTTCCGACATAATCATAGAACTGTTGCATATTATTCATTGTATCCCTTATTTGTCTCGTCGATGTATTGTGTCTTGTTGAAAAACGTAAGAGTGCGGTAAGAATTTTTATGTTGTCATTACTGAGCAATAATTGTTAGTGAATATTCTAAACATAGATGTTAATTCTTGTACGACTTGAATACTTTCGCTTGATTATAAAGAATTAATTGGGAATGTTGAATTTATCGGACAGCCAGTGTCGCATCTTTCCCGCGACAAAATTTAATAGCATCATTGCCACAGCATATATTACACACAGCAGCGCAACTCTGTGGAAATTACATTACAATTTTTATTTCTTTGACCGTGGGGCTGGAAACACGCTAAGAACATGTCGAATGCTCCGCATAATTAACTCTTATGCTGTTACACATAGCGGTGCATTCATACTACATTCAGTATTGGCGAGAGGCACGATTTAAGTTGGCGCTGCTCAAATAAAAAAAGCGGACAGAAAGGGGTTATTTGAATTTTGTATATTCAGCTTCACACACAACGCGGATTTATAATTTTTCATAATTTTTACAATGATCATCAAAAACATATTTTCAGCCTACGCGACAAACAGTAATTGGAGACGCAAAATGTTCTGTAAGCATTTACTTATGAAAATGATATTAATACTGTTTATTACTAAATACATACACGGTAAAGTCCTATAAAATTGTAACCACACTTTGAGCAGAACAGTAAGGAAATCTTATACAAACTTTTTTTCAAATTTCGTTTTTTATAACCTCTACGGGTTACATTTTTCATAGACCTCCACATATTTTAAAGGGTTATAAACAATTAACCTTAATGACTATTTAATAAAATGGGTCATGTAGAACATTTTTTCCACATACTATCCTTCAAATTCACAAGATTTGCTGGATTTACAGTCACTAAAGGTTCAAAGTGAAATAATGATGGCGAAACCAATTTTATTTTTATTACTCTCGACCCCTTTTTTAGTGCTGACCCCGTTGGTGGATGGATAATTCTGGAGTATAGAAATATTTCCCGAATCTTTTACTATATATTGAAGGCTCCATAAGAAACGCGTGTAAATGTTTGAAATCAACCGTTGATTGAATTGACTTACTTCCCTCTAGTTCAAATGCTATCCGCATGGTGGCGCCTAAGTAGAGTTGCCTCTTGCCAATAGAACCAGAGTGTCCATGGCTTGATCATGCACTAAGGTCCAACTGGTATTTCAAACCGACGCTTCACGCACGCACCACGCATTGTCAGTGCCTTGTTGGTGAAGGGATGCCATAATATTTAATGACTTAGCTGTGATTTTAATATCGTTTTCTGGCGCTTTGATATTTGAAAATACTCATGAAATTTTTGGGCCTAAACGTGTGCATAGATTTTTCGTAATTTGATATCAAAACGGTAAGTTCAACTTTCACCGCTCGTAGGACAAGTTGTCACACCGCAAAAAACGAGCGTTTAGCACTACACGACACTACGTTTAGCGATGTATATAGGAAAGCGTTCGATCGAACGGGCGTTCAGCATTGTCGACGCGCGTCAAACGCGGTCCGTGTCAACAGCAAGTTGTGGTGAGTTTAACTGGCTTTTTTGTGGTGAGATAACTTGTCACCCATGTGTACGGGCAGTCAGCGCTATTTCGTGAGATCGAAACAAAATTTGCCTAATTCTCATTAGATTGTTTTGGTTTCACCTATATAGGCATTGGTATGATATTCTTGCTTCATGATTTCATTGATGTTTGTGAATTATGCTACATATTTTCGTGGAATGTTCAATTGTCTTGTATCGTTGCAGTATTTTCAGTCCTCGAAACATGACTGCTTTTGATATCCTTTCATATTAGCTATCATATAAAAAATACTGTAAGCTAGAGGGATCTGGTCTGTCTCCCTTAAATACATTCATATTGTTCACTTTCATCAGAATGCAGCACTTACTGCGTTTATAAGTTTTCCTTGAAACAGCTTGCCAGCTGTGCATTTTCCTTTCACTATAGTATATTTAGTTTCGTTTGCAGTAATTTGGTAGGTCAAAAGCAGTCTTTTCTCTTGGACTATTGATCGTAGTATGATGTAGGAATCAATTATAGAAATTGCATTTATACACTCAACTGTTTATTGGTGCGTCCAACCATATCGGTACATATTAAGTAGATGTTATACTGATTTTGATATATGTACCTGTTTTTGTATTACTGTGAAAATTTGGAGAAGTGCTCTTGAATGATGTAGGGGTCAAAGTAAAAAATAGCCATCATCGGTGCCTATTTTTTGTTTACGTCAGCTTAATATGCAAATCACATAAGTCCAGTTTTGAAGAAAATGAGATATTGGAATTTTTAGTTGATTCTATGTGACGCGCATGTCCCAAGAATTCCTCATAACTCGCAAAAAATGCGTAAGCGACATATTCGGTGTCAAGAATTCCACATAGCACTCACTCGCTCTTGCTCTGACCGACAGTAATATCACACAAGTCCATACAAGTTGAGTGTTTTGGTATGCCTTAATGAAGTCTGTGCATGTCTGTTGTTGGCGGTAGTATTTGATACCTGTGCATGTTTAGCATGGAGTAAAACTCTGATTAAGTAGGATAAGGTAACAGTACCATGTTGAATCAGGATTATATTAAATTAGATGTTGGATAGCGACTAATTGTCTTATAAACGGAAACTACGGAGTTATGCGATTTTATCGTTCGGACTTATTTGATTTGATCATCATAGATATAAAATATAAACACTTCAGACATGGGATAATTTTTTTAATCTCCTCTAAAATCAGTGGTATGGGACTTGTGTGCTTTGCATATTAAGCCTACGTTGTGCTGATGTTGCTTTTTTTGTTTCAATATACGTTAGGTACTACTCGTGAAACGAGTGGATGCATTGAAATAAAATGTTCATCTTGACGTTTTTCGTTCTCTTTGCAGTCTGTTCACAGTAATACAACTGTTACAAAAACCGTTCCTAATCGTGTTACCGACTAAATGCCTTTTGGCAGTAATTCATGAGAATAAATGCGTAACGTTTGACAATCTTGAAATTCTTAACTGAGCTCTCCGCGACGTAATAAATTTTTGTATTTGTGTACAATTATCATTATTATTATATAGTGATGTGCTGTGGTGACATAGTCCCAATACTGTTGTTTAGAAAATTTATTATTTATACATTTTTTATTTTTACATTATAATTTTTATGTAAAAACTGATGAATATATTATTAGTTGATAGTATTCTTTTTATAATTTGATGAAATTCTGCTATAAACAAATTTAACACGCTGTAAACTAATGAATACTGTATATAAATATTGTATTATTATATTAACTATGTATAACCTAACGTTGTAAATACACAGAATCTATTTATAAATAACGATGTCTTTGTTTCACTTAATTCTATAACCATGTTTTAGGTCTGCTGGGCGGACTCGCGAGACTTCTGACCATTCTTAGTCACCTTGCTTAACTATATATGTGGTAAAGCTGCTGCTTCTGGTGCAAAAAATATGTTAAAAACACTATACTGTATTTATACACGCTTTATTTTAAAAGATCAAATTAATACTTTCATAAATATTTACATAAATATAACAAATACAGTACAAAGTAATAGTCAGTCAGTGTTACCATGTTTACCTACTTATAGTTATTATGGAGGGCAAAATAATTTTATAATAAGTACAATATAGCAAAGGTCATTAGCTGAAAAATTGGTCAGTGAATGTGTGACTAAACAATTAAAATTCATGTTAATAAAGCAAGAACTTAAAAGCAAACAAATTTTGCAATTTATTATTGGTTAGATCTTAAATAATACTAGATATTTTTGTTGCATTCCCTAATAATGCTGAATAAGAAACGATATTTGTTATAATTCACTTTTCCCATACCCCTTGACGGTTCTTTTGAAGCAAGTCAAAAATTCCAACACAACAAGAACAACATTTAGGGCATTAAACATACCAACACGAGTCATACAAATAGTTTACCATTCCAAATTATTAGGTATAGGTTGTTTCTCCTGACACGTGTCTACGTAGCTATGTTTTCGGCCTAATTTTTTCATACATAACATTTTGATTTTTATTCTTCAAAAACTGCTTTTTCGTAAAATGAAACTGCTCTAACGCGAATTCGTATAGTTCATTTTCCATCTGCCAAACAACACTTTTCTTGATCTTCTGCATAGTCTCCTCAGAGGGTACCTCTTTTTGGACGGTTTTCCTCAAATGAGAGCGATTGCTGTTCAAAAAATGTTCAGTGGCTCCTTTGAACATTCTAGGGAGAGAACGTTCAAGAATCACAATAAAGTCCTCAAGTTCTTCTGTTACTCCAACTAGGAAATAATTTGTGACTAGGTTCTTTTTTGCTTCTTGAAGAGCCCATTTGTTACCGGGTTTCCTGTAAAAATGATTAATGATGGCAAATTTAGATATTTGAAATTATTTTAAAGTTGACTTTTAACATTCACCAAGTTAATGTAACATCCGAAACAACCTGTGGTTTTCCTGTTTCCCATGTTTATCTGGGCTATCAAACCACATAATATGTTTAAAATCCATTATTATATGATGCTTCGGTCTCAACGGTGGTCAAAAAAAGTGTGAATTGTACTTGAAGAAGGTCACTGTTGGGATCAAACTGGCATGCAATAAAGAGAAATTTAAATATGTCGGGTTTGGTTGACCAGATAAACATGGGGGATTATTCACCTTGTTATTGTGTTGAATGAAAAGTTGTGGAACTTGAAGTGCAGTAGTCATACTTAAATATCAATGAATCGTATATTGGCGACATAGGTCTAAAATCTCTTCCAATGTTGTCGTGAAATCATTATGTTGCTTGTGAGCTTTTGTTAAATCCGAGATGATTTTGGAGAGCCTCATTTAATTCGAATCTTCACTGTAGCAACACATAGAACGAAGGTTGTTCGCAATGCCAAAGACCAGCATGATGCAAAAGTTAGACTCAGTAACATCGCAGCGCAATGGCAGTCTGTCTTTCTGGAGACTGGCCAAGCAGATCGAACTGAACTTCGCAAAGCACGATTGTGACCGATTACAAGGCTCAGGCGGAAGTGCTTTCCGAGGACTCTGCTGCCAACTACCAGTGCACGTTCCTCTAACGCCCGAGTGCTGTTGATCTTGCTCGCTTTTACCGCTATGTCAACGGGCCTTGCTCCTCAGAGCTCTCGTCCATAATACCGTTGCGCGTTGAGCCTGCCAGGTGTTCCCGCCAGGCTTCTGCCCCCGTTCCCAACTCTGTCGAACTTTGTACATCCAAAGCTGGTTGGTATGACCGCTCCTTCGACCATATGGTGTTGAGATTGTGAAACAATCTGCTTACAACACTTTGTTATAATTCAGCCATCCGTACAGACTGCGATAACTAAGTTCGTTTGGGCACTATTTTATGAGATTACACTAGTGATGAACATAATTGGTAGGTATATTGCTAAAAATTGAAAATATGTAAATGGGTGCTACCATTTGGGCTCAGTCTCTCAATACATGTAATATGCTGTAACAGCCTGTAGCTGGTCATGGTCTATAGAAGGAAAACACTTCATCAGTAACTGATGTAAAGTCAACATTGAAGTCACCACAAACTATCAAATACCTGTTGGGAGCATAGACTGTAATTAATACCATATCTAAGCATGACAAAAGAGTATCTAAGTCCCCAATAGGAGATCCGTAGGTACAAATCAAAACATGTAATATTGTTCACATAAACTTAGAAGCATAATACTTGAAATGCTTTTCACTTTACACAATGCCTATTTTTGATGGTTCACATTTAGCATCGACTTTGGCAAATATGGAAGCGACACCTCCATGAAACTCTGTATGAAATGAAAAATTCACAGGTTGATAGCTATCCAACAAGACTGACTGGTTGCCATCAAATTTCAGCCAGCACTCGGACACACAGAATATATCACTAGACTAGATATATTCCTACACCAAAAGATTGAAAATCACATATTTTGAGCATTTCTGAATATGTCTGTAGGTACTTAAGGTTGAGCCACTGGACATGAGGCATATTTTGCTCTTAGCATTGACTTTCTGCAAAAAACAAACAATAAGATGTCAAGTGTATTTTTTGTTTATCCATCAGCCCTAAAATTAGTGTGTTAAGCAAGCTTAATGAAATAAACAGGCATGCTCATTGTTAAGCATACTTTCATGAGTTGTACCCAATACATTTTCCATTAAGATGCTTTAATATCATAATGTCAATGATTTAATATCATAATCAACCAAATTTAACTCACCAACAATTAGCAGAATGGCCACAGAAATAAGGTATCTGCAACCACATGTGGCTTGGATCACATTCTGCCAGTCTTTTGTTTACACACTCATCGAATGTCTGAAATGACAAATTCGCATACACTTGTTCAATTTTATTAATAAAACATATTACCATTGTATTGCCATGCTTTTTCCTGACCAGATAAGGTCTGAAGTTGTCACCATATCGCACAAAATAATAATAAGAAACAAATCTATCTAGTGGCCTTCTTATCAGATTTATGAACAAGGGCTTAGGAAGTCCAAACCTGAAATACATTTAGTTACCAGTCAATTAAAACATTTAAATAAGTCATTATTTACAGATATTCGCTACACTTGTTTGATATAAAGTTTAATTCTTCTCATTACTATCTGAATCTGAAGGAGTTTTAGCAATTGGAGTATTTTTATAGATTTGGTTAAAAATATATAATATATAATTAAAATAAAGTCTATGAGTCATATTGTTCCCTAACATGTTAATCTAGAATGATATTATAAAGTAAAATAAATATTACAAAACCTACTCCAAATGACCGAATAGATTTCCCATAAAACAACAAAAATGTTAAATTGAAATTGGTTTATTTATTTGATAGCTATAATGCAGATCCGTGAAGTTAGCCCAGAAAAATTTGAGCTTAGGTAATAGAAGAAATTGTAACGAATCAAGGTCGTATGTAGATTGCTGAATTGGTACTGTTGCGACTTGTAGAACTTCGGATTTCACTGTTTTTTCACTTGAAACTTATAGAGGGTAATCTGATAAATTATTTTACATCATAAAAAGTGTGGATGAAGCACGCTTTTCATGATTTTTTTCCCAAAACACTATTTTTTAGCAGTTATTTCCCCCACCATATGACACTGACGTCTGTGGATATGTGGCAATTCTAACTGATTATAAAAAACAAAAATTACAACAGCAGTAAAACAAAAAAACAGTTTCATTTAATTATAAAAAAACAAAAAATAACAAACAGTAAAATAAAAAGCAATTTGGATGGAATGGAATTGTTCTTCGTTTTACTACTGTTTTTACCTTTTTTTGTGTTGTCACTTAGAATTGCTTTTTATTCAACATAAAATTGTTTTTTTTGGTTTAATACTGTTCTTATTTTTTGATTTTTATAATTACTTGGAATTAGTTTTTGTTTCACTACTGTTTTTATTTTTTGTTTTTATATAATTATTTATAATTTATCATTTTTTAGCTTACTACTGATTTATACTTATTAGGAATCGCCTTTTATTTTGCTACTGTTGTTAGTTTCAGGTTTTCGTTTTTGTGATTCATTAATTAATAATACACATGTATATAAATTTTCCACTTTTCATATTTTTCCCTAAATGCGAATTCCCATCCGGCAACACAGCAGGCAAGCGTCTCATTTATGACATATGCAGAGACGTCTACATCATGTAGCAGATAGATGGCAGTGGAGATAATGATGGAAAGAATAGCTAAGACTACAATGTATTGGGAAACATTTTTCATGAACAGCGTGCTACATCCACACTTTTTTTGTTTCTAAATAATCTTTCAGACTACCCTCTAAACGTTTTAAAGGAAAAAACAGTGAAGTCAGAAGTTCTACAAGATGCAACAACACCAATTTTTTGTGGAAAAACGATGAAGATACGATGTGTATTGATCATTCTAAATAATCTGGGCTACATGAACTTGGCCCAGAAGTTATAAGTATTTATAATTTTTTTTTAAACCAATGATGGAGAAAAAAAGGGGGTAAATCATATGACACATCGTTTTTTAACAAGCAGATTTTTCTGGGCTAACTTCACAGACCTCTATAATGCAATAAACACATACACATCACATTAAACTTATAATATTTAACACCACTCTGTTTTGTGTCTGAGGTAAAAATGGGAGAACACCATATTGTACCTTATTTATGTATCCGTTTTCAAATGAACTGTTTGAATTAATTTTCCTACTTCATCATGCTTCACTGTTTGACATATAAATCTATAGAAAATACTTACTTCGAGAAGTCTAGGAAGGCAAAATGCCCATGAAATAGGGCTGGTCTCATAACATCCCATTTTGTTACATTTGTAACAAATTTGACTTGATTCTCTAAGGTGAGCAGATTACTATTAGCAGTTATGTTTACATGCAGCACACGAAAGTTATTCTGCTTGCACAAATCATAAGCAATTCCTACAAAACTTGTCGAGCCTGTTTTGGGAACTCGATTGTACAAAACCACTAGATTATCTGTTCCTTCGCTATACAATTCTGTTCGTGTCAATGCGTGTCTTTCTTGAAATTCTTCTAGAAAGTCAAAGTATGTGGAACTAACAAGAAATATCAAAGAAAACTTTTTATTACCTAGTTTAAGGAGTCTGTCATAAAGTCTTGTTAATTGGTTCTGATAAATAATAGCAAGAAAACTTATAAAGAATATTATTGTCAGGATGTAAGCGATTTTTGAGTTTTTTAACATAACGACGATTAATTTACATCCTGAGAGTATTGCTTTTCCTGAAAACTCAGTTGAAAACAGCAATCATAACCCCATATTTTTATATTATTATTTTTGCACCACAGAACACAAACAAGTACCACGGCATTTTCGATAGGGAACATGGAATCCAAGCTTCCATTCCAGTGCCTCGTTCGGGTTACTCGGAGCATCTCACCACCTGTCAATACCGTTCCAGGTTCCAGTGCTCTAGAGTGTCATGTACCTGAGCTACACATTTTTGAAATCTCCTGCCCCTCATACACCAGCTTTTTATTTGGTGCTATTCGCTCCGAAATAATGGGGATAACAAAAATGTTAATGTGTTAAGATTGTTAGGTTATGTTTTTTCGTTGTTTTTGTTTTTTTGCATTAAACTCACATTAAACCGATACCGGCCAATGGAGGATGATAAACAACTGATAATGTTATGACCCACGACCCAGAGTCACAACGTACACTTGAGATATTTCTGAATAATAAAGATCACAAGAGAGTGCACGTATGCGGGTACATAGCGTCTTGTAGTTGGCTTCATCTTCATCTATAACTAGATTATGTCCCTCCTTTTAATTTGTACCAATCACAAACGCGGAATTTTGAATTACAAATGGTTTCTAGATGGAAAAATTGTATGACAGTACCTGTCAGCATTTTTTCCAGTTTACCCGCGGCAACATTTGACAGCTGTTGTCACCAAAAATTGCAATACTAAATTCAAATTCAAGCGGATAACCAAATGGAAATGGTATTTACCATTTTGGATTGGTATTTACCGATCCGTTCAAGCGAGTGTGGTTATCAGTTTGGTTATAAGATCCGTGACGTCACGAATCAGCTGTTATATGTCATAGTTATCACCGCAAAATTGTGGTATTTACCCAACTCCGGAGTAGTTTTATATTTCTCGTTATTATTTGACATGTGACAAGTTAGAATTTTGCCGGGTATTGGATATTTTTATTGTACTTCAGCTTCATTTTTGGGAAACTTGATACAGGCTGACTTCAGTTTTAGCATAAGAGAGCACCTTATTATTTATAATCATCACTGTTGTTGGGGACACTTTAAATCTAGTTCCTACACTTAAAAAAGTATCCTGTATAGCCATATACCACAAGAATATTAAAATATGACCGTATAAACTCACTGGATGACGTCCACCTGTATACGGTTTTGTTAATATCTTTTTTCATCGCTTTTTCATCATTTCTGCTAAATCAATAAATATTTTCTTTGACATGTGGAAAAGTTTAGAGAATTGAAAGTTATCATAGCTACAAAGCCATGGTTCCATCAGTAAAAATTTTTTTCGGAAAAAAAAACATTCCTCCCATTAATATTATGAAAGTTTTCTTTTTTTCAACTTTCCATACCCCGTTGTATACGAAAAAGCACCGATTATTAAGTGATAATAAAAATAATCAGAAATTATATACGGGCTTTTCTAAAATAAACAACTTGCAACAAACCGCGGTTAAAACCAACGCGTTCAAGCGATTCGAGTAACTGACGTCACCATCCCGTGTGTCATCTTGAACCATATTATAACCGCGGTACATAATACGGAAATTTTGGTTATCCGCTTGGATTTGATTTAAGTAATTATGGCCTCCTAGGACAGCAGAAAACACCGATAAGCTAAATGTTGTAATATTATTTTTAAACAGTCCTAGTCAGCATATTTATGTAGTGAAAATGAGTCGCTTTGGAAGTGATTCTTTGACATATTGATCTGGCGATTGAGATATACCTCAGTAACGGTGGTTTGCACCGCTTTGGGTTAAAGGTGAGGGTTACTTAACTCGGAGTTAGCGGTAACCCCAGGTTAAATTCGAGTAGCTTTGCACCGTCAAGGTTTATAAACCCCGACTTTTGGTCATATTGACAAACTTGGAATATAGGGATATTTCTTAGAACCAATACATTTATTGGCAATATTGCCACAAAGGCTAGCTATGCTAAAAGTTTGTTGATTTGTGCTGGGATTTGAATGATTGACGTAAATTTTGACATTTTAGTACTTGTGTTTTGTATTCAGTTTCTTTGCTATTTTTATGATTATCGTTTGTGTTTGATTTGGCTGGATAAAATATTTTCAAATTCCCAACAGAATCACAAATATATATATATATATATATAAAGAGAATATTATGATCATGCGGAGAAAAGTATATACCAACAGGTAGGAAAATAATGGGTAAAATCCGCAAAAAGGAGGAAAGTGGATTAGAGCAGCAGAAAATAGGATAGGTAACCCGAGCGATACGTATTTCTGCTGGTTGGCTTCATCAGGCCCGAAATGAATGCACATATGAAATTACAAAAGTAGATACACATGCCCACACATCCGGATACGGGTGTAACCTGAGGAAACGTGTGTCGTTTTCTTTCCCCTCCAACTTCGTTTCCTCAGGTTACACCCGTATCCGGATGTGTGGGCATGTGTATCTACTTTTGTAGTTGTAGAAAGATGGATTGGCCGTGGAGGACCAGTCGCCTGGCCTCCACGATCTCCTGACCTAAATCCATTAGATTTCTTTGTTTGGGGATTTCTAAAAGAAAAAGTGTACCAGACGCCCGTAACCACAAGAAATATGCTAATAGACAGAATCAGGAATGCATGTGATGAAATAAGGCCTTATTTGAATAATGCCTATACCATGTTCTATCATTCGTAGATGTGAATTGTGTATTGAACAATTGGGTTTACATTTCGAGCAACTACTTTAGATTTTGTATGTTTGTCCTAACTATCCAATAGCATTTTAGTTGTAAATAATTAATTTAATTTTTTAAAAATAATATGGTCAACCTTACCAACAAGTTAGAAGTGTTTTCCACTACAGGTAAACCGCCTAGGAAGTCGTGGCAAATGCCACCATCAGGTGTCATTGACAAAAAAAACACAAATCATAAATTTATTATTTCTATTTTATGTCAAACATTATTTGTTGTGAAAAATTTTAAAACAGTTTCTAAACTTGGAAAGGCAAAGAGGAACTCGACATTTTTCACATAAAATTCGGGATCGGCCCCCACAAGTTTCCAGCTTGCACCGTTGTTCGTGACCCTTTATATGTATAGGCCAATGGCCAATATGGTCATACCTAACATCTTCAACTGGAACAACATGCTGCGATTTATGCTGTTTGATTGGTACAGGAGAGTTTCGGAGACTACTGCTGTTGCTGGTGGATGGTCTACCCCATTTTGGTGCCGCTATCGAATAACCAGAAAATGCCAAACCCTTAGCTATGGACAAAGTGAACTGCAAGAGGTCCATTCTTGATTTTTTCATCACACCTCTGTGGTCCATCTCTTCCTGGTATTCAAGCCATGAATTACAGACTGCTAAATTGAAGTAATGAAAAATGATTTGTAACGTCCATTTTCTTGACCTTATAAATGTGCGGTATAGAGCAATAAGGAAGTCATTTTTATCCACACCACCCATGGAGAAGTTATACATACGTATAATTGCTGGACGTTTTACCATTGTGTAAGCTTTTTGCTTCTTATCCCACCTCTTCACTTCATCTTCTGGTTCAATACCTACAAAATTGACCATTTTGTTATCGTACCAACGCACTATTATAATTTTATTATCAAGTGAAACCGACGAGTCACAATTTCCACGCCCTAACTTTTTGAGTTGATTTTCGGATTTGAGTGGACATTTACCATTCTGTTTGCACGAATAGTTCCGGCAACAAAAATGCCTTTTTCTAATAATTCTTCTAGGAGCAACAACGATGTGAAATAATTGCCACAAAACAGCTTGTGTCCTTTGTGTTCAGGAATTCTGTTGGAGAGGTGTATAACAAGTGCATTAGTAGCTGAATATGCATCTTGCAAATCAACAGGAAGTGTAGTAGAGCCCTGATATAATGCCAGAAGCACCACATAACATAAAAACTTTCACCCCCCATGGATTGGGTTTCCCCTTCATATATTGTTTTATAGACAGTTGGCCTTTGAATGGTTACATTTTGTTCTATCTCCAACTCTTCGCATCTCCTTTCAAATGAGCTGACAATTGGACGCACTTTCCAAAGTCTATCATTAGGATTTTGCTTGTTGATGTCAACAATGTGCAAATTGTTTCTAAGCGATTCGAATCTATTTCTTGACATCCCAATTTTATCAAAAAACTGTATTCTTGTAGCCGGTGTCCAATACATCCTCAACCTTGGAAATCGAATAATACCCATCATAATATGCAGAGCTACAAGTTTTCTTATTTCCTGAACATTTGCATTTATGTTTTTCCCGTGTTTCTGTAACGAACATGTTTGTTTTTTCTGTTAGTTCCGAAAATATATCATCTTGAAAATACTTCGAGAAATATTCCAATGGGCTATTGCTAATGTCGGGTTGAGGGGGTAAGGGAGTGGGAGGTGAAAACTGAATATCTGGTGGATGAAACTCTGCCTTTTTACATTTTTCTTTTGGCATGCTTTCCTTTTTTTGACATGAGCCTCTGTTTCATAATAGACAACGGAATATTGTAATCCTCGTCTTCTGAATCTTGATCTGAACCTGGTTGTACTTCAAATTCTTCATCTTCTTCATCCTCATTGTTTCGATCCTCCATATTCCCAACTTCATTATCGAAATCCTCTTCGATATCTGAATCAGGTAGCCCTGACAAAGCAGCTTGAGCATTACTTAGTATCACTTTTTTGCAACAGTTTTTATCCCCCCATAAAAAATCATGGGGGGGTATACCATCATCGTCTGAAAAAAAAAATAAACAAAAACATAAAAAATGTCGCGAATACCTAATGGTGGCATTTGCGTACGCAAATTTCAAGTTCTTTTTGCGTATAGGAACCAGTTTTTGGTACATATATCAACAATCTACACAAATAAAGTATGTCTGATGTAAAAAAGGAATTATAAACACGTATTTCACTAAATATTTAAACTTACCGAACACGTTTTTGAGGTTATCGAAATCCATGCTTGCACAATAATCAATAATCGTCAATACCTTAGTCAATACAAACAAATGAAATACCACGAGTAAGCAATTTTTGCTCGAAACTCGTTTATAATAGTGCATTGAGGCGACATCTAACAGTAAAACTGTCAAACGCTGCTTGCAGCCGAGTGCAAATACCTGTAAATTTAGCAGTGGCAATTGCCACCAGCAGAGCCGAAAGGGTTAAATAAAACTAATACATCATCATTACTGGAGATCAATACATTTGGCAGCAAAGTAATTTAAAAATGAAGAATGAACTGACCCGTTAGGCAAGTAAATGTTAAAAATGGCCACCATGACTCTCCATGCAATAATAAAGCGTTTGCTCAACACATTGCCGCACATTTTGCAATATTTGAGGAGTAATTTGAAGGCACTCATTCACAATTCTTTGTCGCAGGTCTTCTAATGACATTGGCTGGGTAGCATAGATTTTGCTTTTTAAATGACCCCACATAAAGAAATCCAAAGGTGATAAATCTGGCGTTCTTGGGGGCCATTCAATGGCACCTCTTCTACCAATCCATCGATCTGGAAACGTCTGATCTAAATATTGTCGAACACGTAATGTGGTGGGGCACCATCCTGTTGGAACAACAACCTATTCGCAATGTACCGCCGATCATTCAGATTTTCAATTATGGCTGTTAATGCAGGATCTATGGCGTCTTCCAGTAATTCCAAATACATTTCACCGGTCAAATTTCCAGGTAAGAAAAAATACCAGCCCAAACATTCAATTTTTGTGGCTGCTGTGTATGAACCTCATGATAAATTGTGGGATTAGCATCGGACCAATATCGGCAGTTATGACGATTTACTACGCCATTTAAGAAAAAGGAACATTCGTCGGAAAAGCAAGTGTTGAATAGAAAATGTTCATCGTTTATAATTCGTTTACTAATATCTTCACAAAATTGTAATCGCCGATCAAAATCGTCTTCATTAAGTTCTTGTACCAGGTGAATTTTATACGGATGAAAACTATGGGCCTTTAGAATCCGTTGGACAGTACGTCGACTAACACCACACACAGTCTCCAATTTGCGGGTACTTAACGTAGGATCTACATAAACTTACCCTAAGTGTAATGACATACTAGGCGGGAAACCGCAAAACGCCAAAAGTTGCGGGAATGAAAACCGCTTTCTGGTCTGATGACATACTGTCGCCCGCGCGGCGGCGCGGCGGTGGATGGCGGCGCGACAAGGGGGAGAGGCCTGAATGGCCACATTCTACTTTTGTCATCAGTTGTAGCTTAGCTTTGAAGTATGGAGCTCGCACATTTTGTTAACGTAGCAACTGTTTGTGCTGCTGAAGCTGAAGGCCTGTTGGAGAAACCACGAAGTCGCAGATATGCAGTGCACCCGTATAACAATGAACGTTCAAGGAAGTGCCCCAAATTTTTGGAAGACATCAGAAAGCATCCCGATAAATTTTTTGAGTACTATCGCATGTCAATTGCGCCATTCGATGAACTACTTGGAGCTCTACGTCCACTTATTACGAAACAGGAGACTTCTTTCAAAAAGCCAATTAGCGCAGAAGAAAGGTTGACTGTCACACTCAGGTAACCAAACATATACAGGGTGACTTTGAAGTTGAGTCATTAATTTTCAGATAATGATTGTAGAAGGAAGATAAATCAAAATATGTGTGTAAAAATAAATGTTTACCTTTTTTTATAAAGTATCCTTCCGACAAGTATTTCAGTGCGGACCTGTATTTGATCGTGAGGTCCCCTGTGAGGTCTTAAGTCACCTGATTCACGAGCCCGTTGTACTACATTAACAAAGGCACGAGGGGTTGGTTGCACTCGATTGGGAAACCGATCCGCATAAACATGTGCCATTTTTTATTTCGTTTGAGCCACGCTACAGATACCACTATTCACTGACACTGACTGTATACAAATGAATGAAATAATTGTCGTTCCAAATTCTTTCGCTTTTTTGTTTCCGATGCGATGAACCGATACGGCGGATTATATCCGTTGTCGCCAAACACGACCACATAATATTATTATTGTGACAGGGCGGTACTCAAACTTCCAAAGGGCTATAACTTTGTTACTTTAATTTTACCAGGAAAATGGTAAAGGAAGAAACATTTCTTTTGATCAGATCTACTCACTGTTAAAATAAATGACTCAACTTCGAAGTCACCCTGTATATAACTTCTTATTTATTTTAAATATTATATAAATAATGTTTTAAATTACACTCAAATAATCAATAATAATCATAACTCGAGTTTATTTGTAAAAAAATCAAAAGTGAACAAAATACTTTATAATACAACTTAATATAGTAATATCGTTACTGTGATTGGGAAGACGAACTGGGAGAGAATGTGACTTGAGAGGATTCTTGTGCTATGTTACAAGATGATGTTTGATAGGTTTGCGGTGGCTGTGGGGGTTTCTGAAGTTGGGTTATGTTATGAGAGAAAGGTAGTGAACTATGTTCTTGATAGGAGTATTGAGGACAATGTGTGGAAGTGGTTCGGTAGTTTTGGAATGACAGAGGAGGCGTAGATGTAGGAGGTACGAAAGTTTGACGGAAAAAGTATCCTACGTGTTCACGGAATGCCCACTTTTGACCCGGAGATAACGCTTTTTAATCCGGAAGTAAAGAAAGTAGGTACAAACGATCTGCATCTTCGTCAACTCTGGCTTGGGTAATCGATGATGATGCCTGACTGAGATTTTTTATAAGGGATTCTTGAAAAGGAGTCATCTTGGCAGGTCGACTAGGCTTTCTAAAAGAATGTTGTTTTGGAGTTGATGAGTTTTCTGGGTGTGGGGATGAAATGGGTGAATGGGATTCTGATACTGATAACGCTGAAGTTGTGGTTATGTCAGATTCGTTGTGGCCCTCTTCCTCTGAAGTGTCTGAGTCGAAATTGCTCGTTGTGCTGAAAAGAGATGCATATGACGATATATACTGTAGATGATATAACATCAACTAAATGACCAACCTTCTTTTCTCAGCAGAGTTTTGGAGGAAACTCAGGGCCTCAAGGTGTACATATTTCTTTTTTTTGCAGCATCGCCGCTTCTTGTATCTAAATATTTTCTTAATGAATCCTTGATGTTCTTCCATTTCTTCTTCAACGCATCCACTGAAAAAGAATAATTAATTTCAAAAACAAAGACACAAAAACACGTGCACTAGAATTAGCGGTATATTTCGATTCTTTTTGCAGATACTTGGCCACGGGAAATACCTTCACAGCTCTACAATATGAATTCCACATTGGAAGAAATATGATTGCCGATATAGTGTCTGAAACTTGCCGGAACAGATTCCACTCCTCAGCCTTTTGTATTTCTTGGAGACGAAGCGTTTAAAATACATACAAATCTCATGAGACCCTTTCCTGCACGTGACATTGATGGTCGTCGAAGAATTTTCAATTACCGACTTTCTAGAGCCAGACGTTCAGTCGAGTGTGCATTTGGTTTATTAGCCAATAAATGGCGAATTTTTCACACACCAATTTTGGTATGACCAGAGCTCATTGATGATATCGTAAAAGCCTGTTGCATCCTACATAATTTCGTTCGGCAAAGAGATGGTGCCAATTATGAAGAAGGTGAAATCTCTCCATTTCCTGACGTAATAAATACTGGTGCAGCGCCCCGCGACCAAGGAACACAAGTTCTCGATTTTTTCGCAGATTATTTTGTTGGGATTGGTGCCGTCCCGTTTTAAGAGGAGTATAATTATTGAATTGCAAGGATGTTCACGTAGTTGTGAATAAATGTATTAAAGTATTACAATGTACTTAATTCTAAAAAAATACCTATTATCTGAGAAACTCGGCATTGCCCGGAAAAAAATTACGTATAAAAAACGATGAATGATAAGAATAAAATTTTAGGTAAATACCATGTCCCATGTCCATGTAAAAACCGTATTCCAAGGCGTTATTTTTTCGTTTTATTTATTTTTATTAAATTTTGATTGCCAAATCTTTTTTTTAAGTGAAAACATCACTTATGCACATCAATAGTAATTTTAAAATTATGCCAAAAAGAATTGAAAGATTTGTTTCTAAATTTAACCGTAATTTTCATGTGGTGAAAATAAATGCTAGTCAGTCAATATATGATCAAACAATCGACTTTTTTTATATTAAATTCGGTTTTAAACTTTTTAACTTTCAATTATTAACCTTTATAATTATTTGGTACCTTCAACTTACATTTTTTATTCCTCTCTTTCTTCCCAAGTGTATCCCAATCTTGGAAGATCCTTCGGACGATCTCGATCCAAGCCTTTTCTTTTTCGTATCTGTCTTTGTACTGCTCACAACTTTTGTTCCAAATGGAAGGATGCATCTCAACGAGCTCAATGAGGTTTTCTGTGGACATGATTCTGCAGACTCCTCGACGAAATCACGAAACACACTACAAATCGCAACCCGCAGCGGTTCAGTAGACAACTATTTGTCACCAGGCGTTAGTTTGTGTATGTTTCCCCCACTCAAACTGCAAAACGCAAACCGCTTTCCCGCCGACAAGACGCGGGCTGAATTTTGCCGCCGATCGCAGCGGCCGGCGGGAACGAAATATGTCATTGAGCATTGACATTGCATTGCAGGCGGTTGTCGAACGGGCCGCTAATTTTAGCGTTTTTGCGGTTTTCCGGTTAACATGTCATTACACTAAAACCCCCACTTCTATTGCTTCGTTCCTTATGGGATTTTCAATGTTGCATTTTTTATTGGCGACTGACGCAGTTTCCCGAAATTTAGCTACAAGTTCTAGAACATATTTTCGATTCACGTTACTGTTCTCATGTCGCTCATTAAATATTTCTGCTGTTCTATTAGCGCACTGATTATTTCCAAAAAATATTTCGATAATTTCAACTCTTTCTGCTATGGAATATACCATGGTTAATTTATGTAATAAAACGTTACAAGTTATTTTAGCAACAAAGTTTGGTCAAATCAATCGCAAACTATGTACTAAATTCCTATTTAAAAAAAGTACGAGATATTTCCTTATCTTTCTTCAATAAATAACTTTTTTGCCACAAAAAATGCACCAATAGCTATTTTCAACAACAAAATGATAAACAAACCATGGACGTAGTGAAGAAAAGCATTTACTTATTAAGTAAATTCTTTTAGCCAAATTTCTTCTGACAGTAGTACAAACTAATCTGATGACCTATTAAAGTCTACTTTAAGCTTTAAATCAATAAATCTTCAAAACTACTACTGAACTGGAGCTCATGTACGAGCCCCTTCCCACTTCAGTTGGCCCACTTCAAGATTTGTACGAAAATATGCCTTTATAAACTAAACATGACGAAACTATTTACTTGTAAAACAATTTATTTTCTCAAAAATATTCAAGATACACTCTAGTCGTAAAAAATACATATTTGAAATCAGTTAGACCTATAACTAATAGAACATCTGAACAAATAAACAATGTGCGAATAAATGCGCGAAGTTAAGAAAGCAACAATTGAAAGATTACCATTGGGTAACATCACCTTTATTTTTTATTACGGCTGAAATTCTTTGGGGCATAGTTTTAACCAAGTTTTGGCAAAAATTTGGTGTAAAACAATCCCATATTTCTTGAAGCTTTTGTCTCAGTTCGGTGATTGTACGAGTAGGATGTTGTCGTAGAACCTTTTTCATCTCGTGCCACAAAGTTTCAATAGGTGACAGATCCGGACTGCTAGAAACCCATTTCAAAAGTGGTACATTATTTTCTTCCATTCATTTTACAGCCTTTTTTGAGGTATGGCACGCTGCACCATCTTGCTGAAACACCAAATCTTGGCCGGATATAAAACATTCTTCCATCACTGGTAAATGCGATTCTTCTAATATTGCCAAATATTTGTTTGTATCCACATTTCCATCAATAGACCATAATGGATGCTGGAAATTTCACTTTTCTCTTCAGACAGTTAACATGGATGCTTCATTTTTTGCGAATAACTCTACTGCGACGGTTACCAACACAAGCTTCGAATCGGGCCTCATCACTCCATTGTATTGCACACCATTGCTGAGGTGTCCATTGTCTATGTTGTTTAGAACATCTGTAAGCCGATTTTTCTTTTGCAGTGGAGTTAATAGTGGCTTTTCTTTGGCCTATAAACAAGTTGTGCAACTTTAAGGTTTTTACTTCATATTTTTATAAGAAAACTTACCTTGCAAGTGCTAAATCCCAGTTGGTGGGCCTCTTTATGAGTTGTGGACCTCGAAATTCTCCTTCCAACAGCGTCACTCCACAGAGCACTTAATTGGCACGCCTGTTTTTCATTATTATTCTTCTTAATGCTCTTCAGTCGGCATTTGTGATATTACTTTTTTCACATATCGTGGCTTAATAGTAACTGAACCAGTTACGTTATATCTTCTAACAATATTTCTCACACACTCTAACAAAGTTGCAATTTCTGAGTTTGATTACCCAGAATTAAAAAATTTAATTATTAGTAACCGAATTTTCTCAATAATAACCTTTCCTCTACCCATTTTGAAAACCTTAACTACCCAAACTATTTTAAACGTATTCCGACAGCTGTGATTAATAAAAACAATTGTCATGGGTTTTATTTTTCACAGCCACCTACGCGTTATAGACTTATTTTGCACTGAAATGAAAATAGGTTGATATGCTGTAATTGCAACATGTGTTATTTTTATGCTGCAAATTTGATTAGGGAGTGATAAAGTTGGTGTTTTCTACTATATATTATCAAAATATTCATTGTTAATATTTTAAACCTATAACACCCTGTTAAATTTTTATTATTTGTGTTTGATAAGAAAAAAACTAAGATTTCAATAGTTGAGCCAAATGAAGTGGGAAGGGGCTCGTATTTTACATCATTATAAAGGGAATTGAAATACCTTTAAAATAAGGTATCACTCGACCCCCTTCCATTTAAGATTTTAGGGTTGGTGTCACCCCCGCCCAGGGGGCTGCACGTGTTAACGTGATTTTTTGCCAAACTTGTGTCCCCCTCGAAAACAAAATCGGCGGGTCTGAGCGTTTTTCAAAAAAAACTGAGCTGCCAGTAGGTAAATGCGTCTGTTTCGTTTGCGATGCGCCACCCGGTCTGCATACAGTCAAGCGGCTTCACAAACATCTAACTGTTGATCATTTCCTCTTGTTACACTGCGACGCTTCTCATACCTTATTGCCATGTCAGGAGCCATGCAGAGCATGGTTAATAGGTATTTAGTGGCGTACAACCGCTTGGTTTATAAAAGAATCCCGCCTGTTCGGCATAACTTATATATATGTACTTACAATCCTACGCAGCCATCGCAAAAAGAGCTGAGCAAAGAGGAAAAAATGAGTTAAATGCCCGTTTTAAGACGGTGTGTGATCAACTGGGTCTTAATTTGAAAACTATAAACATGGATAACAGTTCCTGATGTGAACCATGTTTTGCATCAATCTATTTATCTTTGTTTCATGGACAAAAGAAGGAATGTCAGTAACATTCAATAGCCATAAATGTTTATTTGATGTTTTTTAACCTATGTGATTTTTAAGTTCAATGCGTTTAAAGTTTTTGTCAAGTTCATATTGTCAAAATAAGTATTATTATAAACCATATGCATTTGTAGTTTAGTTTCACGCATTTACGTCTTACACCTGATAAATTAATGTGTTTTATTAGTTTTGTACATTATTAAAATGTTTTACATATTTGTGGTATCAATTTCCCTTTGAATAGAAAACGAGCAGTATCAGAGTCCAATTTCTTAGAAACGGTAGCAGCAGCAGACAGCTAGATCGCCGACGTGACGGCCTGTCTGTCAGAAAATAGTCATCGATCAGTTGGACAGCTTCTTCTTAACAGAATCCAGCATGGATAATGTGTTTGTGGAGGAAAGTACTTCTTAGCCCTAAACAAATAGCCTAGCTTTTTGCTAGCAGCGGCCGCTATTGACAAGAGAGAGAGAGAGAGAGAGAGAGAGAGAGAGAGAGAGAGAGAGAGAGAGAGAGAGAGAGAGAGAGAGAGAGAGTGTGTTCGCGCCAGGTCAAGTACTCGGTGATTTGTACTCCAACCAGCCAAAGTCAACCGCTTTTTGGTAGAACTGGGCCATCCATCGACGGACGACCGCTTCTTGTTAGTCTAGGCTGTCTTGGAAGCATTGAACAAACAAGATAGTTGCGTCCCGAAGCAGTCATAACCTCCAAGAAACGACATAGATTCACATTGCATCAGCCCGACGCACAACATTTAATCAAAAAGTAGTTATATCAAGAGAAGACACTTCCTAGACTGCCTTTAAAATCCGCCAGTCGGCCCCGTTGACTTTGAGAGTCATGTGTAAATGTGTAAATTTGTTACATCATCGCGTACTGATATGATATGATAAAAACTAGTCATGTACAGTTACGTGTTTCGAAGCTAGACAGCAAACTTGTCGAGTAAGAGATGTAACTTTGCGGTTGGCTCTTGGACTATTACTGGTTTACAAATAAAAACAGCGCACCATCCTTGGCTTGTTGATTCGTACACGGAAAACCAAATTTGTCTGACGCCTAGAGTTCGATGTGTACGAGAGAGAAGCGCAAAAAGTGTGTAACAACTCATGTTAGAAAGAGATAGAAGCCGGCTGAAGAGCTAAGGTTATCATCACATCGCCTAGCACCGGTGACGCAGAAGGTCATGCAATCTGCCGCGTCGCCAATATGTTACACCAGAAAATGTTCGCACAGGCTTCTACAATAGGTTAGGTTACTGTCAAACCTAATAAGGAAGATTTAATTTAATATTTTGTTTTCATTTTGGTTAGAATTATTCATTTCAATTTCGATATTTTAATTTATTCTAGAAGTATCTTTGATTTCCACCGATGGGGGTAAAACAACACATATATCCTGAGTTATTGTTACAATTTGCGACGGCTAGCGGTCGGAAAATTTAACAAACACCATTACACAATACAAATTATCATTGCCTGCGTGTACGCAGGTGGTAGCCATTTCGAAGCAGGACGACACTCTCCAATAAGCGCTAGATGGGTACTGAACTACTGAACTGACCAAAATCGCTCATCTATGATCACTATGATCATGGAGGTGACAACCTTGCTTTGGAATGTACCACATGCGGTGTTGCCAAGCGAACCAATGATGTAATGTTGCAGAATTTGTGGCGGTCCTGACCTTTCATTTTGACCAAAAATGGAGCGCCATTAGAACCGATGGGGAATCAATCCTAAACAGACTCGACTCAATTAAAGACTAAAAAATGTGTACGCTCAAAATAAAACCAGTATTTGGGCGTAGAGAATAAACAAACGCATATTTTAAACATGAATCATAATTCAAAGAACTGATGTAACATACTGGCAACGCGGCAGGTTGCCGTATCAGCGTTGCTAGGCAACACGGTAATGAGCTTCGCTATCCAACCGGTTTCTATCTCTTTCTGAAATAGGTGTATACACAATGAACTCAAGCTGTCAGACGAATTTGGTTTTGAGTTATATGGCTCTTGCATGTACTAAGGTGGTGTTGCCATAAGATATTTATAAAATGCTACATTTATACTAAAAAGAATCTAGTTAAATGTTTTCACGGTTTTTGGTGGTTACGTCAAAAAGTCATTCGAAATAAAATATATCGTGTCAAGGCCATGGTGTAAAAATAACTCACGACCATCAAGTAGACGATTGGTCAAATAAGCAATTTGAGGTTAGATAACTTTTTAAGCTAAAGTACTTCTTTTACAACTAAGCTGACTCTTGTAATATTCCGCTTAAGTTAAATAGCTATGTTATAACTTGG